TCTCCATCTCCCGCTCCTGACGCTGTCTCGGTTGCGCCTCCTGAACCGCAGCTGATCCCCGAGCCTACTCTTGCTCTCGACTCCGATACATCACCACCACCAGAGCCTGACACGACTTCGCTCTCAGCCCCTGATCCTGGCCCTCGTCGCTCCACTCGGGTTAGTCACCTTCCTACTCACTTACTTGATTATCACTGCTTCTCTGCCACCTTGTCCCATCATGAGCCCAGGACCTTTCGTGAGGCGTATGCGGATCCTTTGTGGCGGCAGGCTATGTTTGAGGAGTTGCAGGCTTTGGAGAAAACACATACGTGGGATATGGTTGATCTTCCCCCTGGCAAGAAACCTATTGGCTGCAAGTGGGTATTCAGAATCAAAACTAACTCTGATGGATCTATCGAGCGCTACAAGGCACGTTTGGTAGCCAAAGGCTACACCCAGCAGTATGGTATCGACTATGAGGAGACATTTGCCCCGGTTGCTCGTCTCACCTCTGTCCGCTGTCTTATCGCCATCGCTGCCGCTCGTCGGTGGCCCCTACATCAGCTTGATGTCAAGAATGCGTTCTTGCATGGTGATTTATCTGAGGATATCTACATGTCTCCTCCTCCTGGTTTTCCTACCTCTTCCAAGGTATGCAAACTTCGCCGTGCCCTATATGGTTTGAAACAGGCACCTCGAGCTTGGTTTTCGAAATTTAGCTCTGCTCTACTCCAGCTTGGCTTTACTTCTAGTGATCATGATTCGGCTCTCTTCCTTCGACGTGGGTCAGCTGGAATTACTATTTTATTGCTTTATGTGGATGACATGATTATTACGGGAGATGATGCATCAGGTATCTCCGAGTTGCAAGCTCATCTAAACCGCCACTTCGAGATGAAGAGTTTAGGGCCTCTTCGGTACTTCTTGGGACTTGAGATCTCCGACACCTCCGACGGATATTATCTCTCTCAAGCCAAGTATGCCTCCGACCTCCTATCTATTGCCGGTCTCACTGACTCCAAGACTGCTCCTACACCTCTTGATTCTGACTGTCGTCTTACTCCGATGGACGGCGTTCCCCTTGATGATCCGATTTTGTATCGTCAGCTAGTGGGAAGTCTCATCTACTTGACTGTCACTCGACCCGATTCTAAATAAATGGGTCGGGTTTGAATCAAATCTATCTTGACCCATTGTCATCTTCAACGTAAGATATTTTTGTTTGAAACTATGATTCAAGTTCGATCTCAAATGTCTGAGTATTTAGGGTAAAAAACTCTTGTCTATTTTGAGGTTTTTATTTAGTTTAAAATAAATATAATAAGAGTTTAAAAATAAATAAGAACAAAATATTTGTATTTTTTTTTTATAATTTAAAGTAAAAATAATTATATAAAATGAGTTTTTATAAATTTATTTTCTAAATTAACTGGTATAAAAACAATTAAATTTAAAAATACAAAATAATAAACTCAAAATTATACCCACAGCACAAGTGTTTCAAGTTGTGTTTGTTTGTAGTTTTCAGTTCGAATTTTATTGTTTATTAGTTTTTTTTTCTTTAAAAATATTATATTATAGATTAATTTAAAATTCAAAATATTATACTAAAATTTATTTATATCATATTAAATAATTATTCCAAATCAAAGTTTTATTATTCAAATTAAATAATAACATATGATTTCGATTCTTATTTGGTGAATCGTATGAATATATGCCAAAATTATTATTACTTTTTTTTAGTCCCTCCGACTAAATTTATCTATTACTATATTTGAAAAAGTAAAAATAATAATCTATATTTAATTATTACCAGACTTGTTTACTATAAATGTCAATACATTTGATACATTCTTATTTCATTTATTTTAATTTCTAACTAAAATTTTAAAAATACTCCAAATTATCTTTCTATTATATAATTTTTTTAATAAAATATTTATTTATTTATTTTTATTTCCATATGGTATTCAAATGAAGTAATTTTAATGGACAAAAAAAATACTGGTAAAATATATATTCTGTTAAAGCTCATTTAACAATAGAGATTTTTAATTTGTAAGGACAACTTTCATTAAATTTTATAACTTTAATTTATTATTTATACATTAATTTATTCTGTATTATTATAAATTTATTATTTTTCACTCACTATTCATCTAAAATTTATCTTTCTATCTTCCAATCAATAAATAAATAAATAAATAATAAATTTATCTCTCTCTATATATATTAATCAATTTTGTTTCTCTTTTTCTCATTATATATAAGCCGTAATTTTTACTCTATAACTTCACTTTTTATCATAAAAAAAAGAAAGAAAAAAAATAGTAATATGACCATTAACTGACATAATTTTGGAATAAGTAATCTATAAATGATACAGAATGACCAATCTATGTGATTGTTTGGGGGTTTGGATTTTGAGTTAGGGATTTGAATAGTAAAAATTTTAAGTTTGAATAGTTATATGATGTGATATAAATGAGTGTTGATGTGATATTTCGAATGTAAAATTGATTTTTAATATAATATAAAAAATGAAAAATAGGTGTTTGATTTGATGTTTTTGGGAGGAAAAATTTGGATGAATAGTATAAAATCCCCCAAACAAACACACCCTTAAATAATACTCCTCCGTCCCACTTCTCATATCCATCTTTCCATCTCCGTCCGTCCCACTTATTTTGTCACTTTCCTATTTTTGGAAAAGAATTGTACACTTTAATTTTATTTTTAAAAATTTAATATATATATTTTTTAATTTTAATTATACTAATCAACTATCTTAATCTATAATTATTTTTATTATAATATAATTATTTTCACTAATATATTTTTAATTATTTACTAATTATACATCTTCTGAATTCCCGTGTCTACGGTAAAACGGACAAAATATTCGAAAAGAATGCAGTAATAAACAAATATTTATAAAAAAATAATTATTTTGATCTAATAAAGTATAAATAAAATCATAAATACATATTTTAAATATTTTTAAAAAATATTGATTAAAGATATTTAAAACAAAAATTAAAACTACATGCATTCGTTTGAAACTGCATATATATTTTTGTAAAAAATACAAACAGAATTCAAACTTTGTCGAATTGTGTGTGGTTGTTTTTATTTTTTTTTTATTTTTTATTTTTTCTAATACAGCTCATGAAATTTAAAAATAATTGTAAATATTGTTCTAAAATAAATTATTTTATCTATAAATATTTATATAATGAAAAGTAAAGAACATATATATTTAAATGCTCACAAATTAAACAGTAGTACAATATATTGATAGAGAATATTGATCTCAATCAAATAAAGTATACTCCCTCCGTCCCAGATACACGATATTTTAGGAGGGGTGTAATTAGTAGATAATTAAGAATGTATTAGTGAAAATAATTATCATCTAATATAAATAATTATAAATTAAGATTAAGATAACTAATTAGTTTAATTAAAATTTAAAAAATAAAATTAAAAAATTTAAAATGAGATTATAGAGTGTAATCATTTTCCAAAAAAGAAAAGTGACATGATTTGTGGGACGGACAGAAACGGCAACGTGGACATGGTATCTGGGACGGAGGGAGTATTGTTTAAAATGTTAGGAGTGTCAATGTGGATGGTCAAAGGAGTTTCATCGATAAATATATAGTTTATTATTATAAATCGAAAAAAATAGGTAAAGTTTTATTTGGTTGTGATTTGAAATAAAATATTAATTTAAAATTTTATTTAAATAATATATTGATGTGAATTTTATGAAAAGAAAATATTTTTATTAAATATTAGGTAGAATGAATAGTCTGATTTCAATTTGAATTACAAAAAAAAAAATTTAAAAATTTAAAAATCACAACCAATCGTAGCCCTTTTGTTGAAAAGTAAATAATAAATTTAGGAATTGTTTAAATATATATTGAGAATTTTAAATTATATGGCGTAGATAAAAATGTAAATACAATATTATTTAGAGGGTAAAATAAAAATTTTATAGGTAAAAAAATGTAAAGTTAATAAATAGAGAATGGTAAAAAATAAATTAAAAAGCTAAATGCAAGAAATTTATGAGTGAAGATTGATAAAATAAATAATTTTTAAAAAATTAGGGTGTGTTTTTTTTTGTAGATTTGGATTTTTTTAAATAGATATTGATGTGATGTTTTGAATTAAAATAAATTTGTAGTATAATACATAAAAGAAAAAAAAATAATTGTTTGATGTGCTATTTTTGGAAGTAGTGTTCTTATGTGGTTTTACTACATATTTTTTACTATTTAAATTCTTTTTTCCCTCCAAAAGTGTGTTTGTTTGTGGATTTTAGATTTTGAATTTGAATAGTTGTTTGATGTGATATAAATAGAGATTTGATGTGGTGTTTTGAATGTAAATAAATTAATAGTACTCCGTCCGTCCCATAAATATAGTCTTAATTGCATTGGACACGAGATTTAAGGAATATTGATATTATATTGGTACTTGGTAAAAAGTATAGATAAAAAACTTTTTTTTGCCTTTGTGAGTGTATTAGTGTAAAAAGTAGTGACAATTGTGTAATAAAAATGAAAAAATAGGAGTAGTTTTACGTCTGATATGATTATTTATGGAAACAAAACTATTGTTTTGGGATGGACAAACATGAAAAACAAGATTATTGTACTGAGTCAGAGGGAGTATAATATAAAAAAAATAATTATTTGATATATTTTTTTTTTTAAAAAAGGAAAAAAAGAACTTATAATAGTAAAAATTACGGACTTCATAATCAAGCAATAATAAAAACATAAATTAAACAACAAATGAAAACACCCACGCAAGTGACACACGTCTTTCCTAAACCTACCAGACCAATTAAAACAAAAAGAAGAAATTAAAAAAAAATAAAATAAAACGACCAGACCCAATTCTTTATTTAATTTTCTAAAACCACGTGGCGTAAAATGATTGGATAAAGGAAGACACTGTAATTTTTTAAAACCCAAAAACCACTATAAAAGGATCGACTTCCCAAGCTTTGTAGAGCACAGATTCGCAGCAGTGAACTGAAACTGAACTAATCGTTGAAAATGGGTATGGCTGCAGACCTCAAGCAAGTTCTGGGCGAGCTCGACCAGGAAGCCTTCATCGAGCTTTTGGGGAAGCTCGTCGGCGAGGCGGAGCACCTGCAGAACAATCCGCCGGACCTCATCCCGGAGGAGGACAAGGTCGTCAGGCACGTGCTCGATGTGCTCGCTCCGTACGGCACTAGTAATGGGGAGCCGCTCGTCATTAATCACGTCTCCTACGTGCCTGGTCGGGGGAACCTCATTGTCGAGTACCCAGGAACTGAGCCTAACAACGTTGTGTCGTTCGTCGGCATGCATATGGATGTGGTCACCGCAAACCCTGAAGAATGGGTATGTTCAGTTTATGTGCTTAAAATTCTAGCTATGCGATGAATTGAGTAGCTGAATTTTGTTGAATTATGCGTTGCTATTTGTTTTGTGTTGTGGTTATGGTAGTTTGGTGGAAATGGAGGTTAGTTTTGTGGCTTCGTGTGTATCAGTGTATGCGTGTGTGTTTAATTAGGCTTTTCTGTGTCGTGTATCAATTTCGGTTATTTAAACATGAACAAGTTGAGTTGAAGCTGGATGATGATGAGAATTTCTTCATTTTTGTGTTAAGAGCGCAGATCATTTAATTGAGGTATTATATTCGTGTAGGATTTCGATCCTTTTTCTTTAAGCATCGATGGCGACAAACTTAGAGGGCGTGGAACTACAGACTGTTTGGGACATGTTGCTCTTCTAACTCTACTACTGAAGAAGCTGGCAGTGGCTAAGCCTGCATTGAAGTCGTCAGTTTATGCGATCTTTATTGCCAGTGAGGAGAATTCATCTATTCCAGGAATAGGAGTTGATCAACTGTATGAGGACGGATACTTTGACAACTTACACAGAGGACCTCTGTATGTTTTTCGGTTCCTTTTTAAACCAATTTGACTGAGAAGCTTGTAAGCATTTGCAACAATTTTGAAACTAAGAAATTGATTCTGATATGCTTAGTCCATCTTTGGCCCTCTTTGTAGGTATTGGGTTGATACAGCAGATAGTCAGCCTTGCATTGGCACCGGGGGGATGATTCCGTGGAGGTTTAATGTTACTGGAAGGCTGTTTCACAGTGGTCTACCCAATAAGGTACTCCCCTTTGCACTGCCTTGATCGAATCTTCTTGAAAATTGACAATTTCGATTATTGTTTTGTTTACTTATTACAGCTTCTTATTCCCAGGATTACTAGATCTGTACATAGTAATGGAGACATTGAATTATAATGGAACTGTCTATTAGATTAAGTCAGTATTGATGGATAGGATTGAACATAGGATCTGTTTTTAAGCAGAATTATGAAGTTTGGTTGATGCATGGATGTGCAGCCAACAATTAAAAATCAATGGAGAAAAAGGTTAATGAGTTCCTACTGGTTAAAATGGCGTTAATATGTATATATAAAGTTTGTATGTCTTCTTTGGATATTTCATATGAAAGAGTAAAAAATCAACACAGATATGCTTTCCCTGCATTAATATGTTGATAAACTGTAAGGGATAAAGTGCGTCATATTCTGAAACAATTGAATGTATTTTGTCCAGAAATTCTTTTCCTATTTCCATTTTCCCAGATAGTTTGTCATCAAAATTTATGGTACAAAATACTAATTAAAATTATTTTATGATCATAGTGTTTTGCATCTTATATCCTGTAATGATAAACATATCTGTCACGGTAAAAAATTAAAGTATGTGCATTTATGCAAATTAAATCTTTGAATTGTATATGCACTAATTACTTATGAGGTGTGGGCTAAATTATTATTTGTTATTTCTTCAAAGGTCACTACAGCAGAGGCTTTAAAATTTTTATGTATGAACTAGCCAGAAATTAAGTCAGTATGGTAAACCCTCGGACATCTCTCTCTCCCTCTCTCACATCCACCCCCAACGCCCCCAGCACTTTCGGTTTTAGTTGATATTATATGAACTGCAGATAGCCAGATACCATATTGTGGGATGAACAGGGAAGTTGTTCATGCTATTTTGCATACACACTTGACTGTTCTGTGATGATATTGCATTTTATTTCAGCTACTTCTTTATTCACTTCACCTCCTTGATCATGCATGCATTTTCCCAACTACATTAATTCATTTTCTCAAGGTTTCAACTTCATTAATGCTACAAATTCTTGTTTAAGATAAACTAAAATTTACCCTTTTCATGTTCTTGATAAAATTCTTCATGCCCATTTCCTTGGGATATATTGAAAATTAAGGGTCCATACTGTAGTTTTTTCCTACTATCTGAATTACTTGTTGATTGTTCTGTAATTAAATCTTCACAAGCAACGGGAGAAGGGAAGGTGTACTTTGTGGCATACTTAATACATTAGAAAAACATTGCAATAACAGAATGAAGTAACAAATATCAAAGTGGGAAGTTAGAACAACTACTTGGTGGATTTCTTTATTTTGGCTTACATTTAAAGATTCAATCCCTTGTGCTTCTAAATATGTTTTGATTATGATATTAATTTGGTGTTTCTTACTTTAGGCAATCAATCCTTTAGAGCTATCAATGGAAGCCCTTAAACCAATTCAGTTACAGTTTTATAAAGACTTTCCACGCCATCCAAAAGAGGAAGAATATGGTTTTCAAGTACCATCAACCATGAAGCCAACTCAATGGAGTTGTAAGTTCTGGACATTAAATCGAAACTTGATCTATTCATAAATATACCATACCAACTATTCTTTTCATGTATAACCATAACAATTTGGCAGATCCTGGAGGTGGCATCAATCAAATTCCAGGGGAGTGTCTAATTTGCGGAGATGTTAGGTTATGTTTCGTTTCACGTCTGTTACTTAAGACTTTACATTTTCGTTGACCTCTTCTAATATTTCTTTTTTATTTATTGTTTCAGGCTGACTCCATTTTATAGGTATGACAAGAAGTGTAAATTTTAATTTAATGTATAGCTTTAAACAGCTTCTTTTCAGCTAACATTTCATTGGATGACTGATGAACAATGTGTTTCAGTATAAATGATGTACAGAAGAAGCTTCAAGAATCTATTCAGTACTGGAATGACAACATTGAAAAGCTCGACACACGAGGACCGGCTTCCAAATATGTTCTTCCAGAGGAGAACGCCAGGGGGACGTATGTTTTCCTTTCCTCTATATTACTTCGAGATTGTTACAATCCAAAATATCAATTTTATAATTTGGTGGCTACACTTATTTATAAATGTTTTCCATATTATCCTTTTACTTAAACTATTATTCCCTCTCTCAGATTATCTATTACTTTCGATGAATCCTTCGGTGGAATTGCTTGCGACCGTGACTCTCGTGGTTACAAAATGTTGGCCAAAGCTACTGAAGAAGTGATTGGGAAGGTAGAGCCATTTTCCATAACCGGTAGCTTGCCACTCGTGGCGAAATTGAAGGTGAAACCATTTTTCTTAGTTTTATTTGTGAATTTTGTAAACACTAAACTAAGTTCAATTATTCATCCCTTTAAAAAAATTATGCAGGAAGAGGGCTTCGACGTCCAATGCATTGGCTACGGTACAGTCCATTTCATTACTTAGAGTTTCGATTATTTATTATTCTACAATTGCCATTATAGTGAACTCATGTGTTTATGCTTCTTAAATGCAAAAGGCGAAAATAAAACTCAACTATTTAAGAATGCTGGAATCTTCTGCCTAGGAGCTATCTTTTAACTTAACATTGTAGCCTTTTTGCATCGATGGTCTAAAAGGTCGAGGCCATGAGGCAGAAAGGGCTTCAAAATTAACTATAAAATAGTCGTGGCTAGTTAGCTAACTATGAAAGGAACATTAAAATGTACGTATGTAGTAACCCGACTATCTGTGATTAAAACTAGACATTGGTAACAAAGAACAAATTTTTCGATGATTGAGTAGACATAAAGTGGTTAGCATCACTCTTTTTGCGAGCTTCTACTTACTTAAGACTGATTTAATATTTGTTCTTTTTCAAAATTACCATGGAGATACATAAAAAATCTTTCTAAAGTATTTCTCATTTAGCTCGGGATTACCACACACAACACTCTTATAATGGATAAACTGAATTTATCCTTTGATATCTCTGCCGATCTTTTTTCTTTTTCATACAGACATACATATTTCTATATGCATATGATGTGTGTTTCTTTAAGTCTGGATTAAGAAGATTTGATTTATATTTTGTATTTTAATACTCACTCAGTCCCACTTTTTTCGTCCACTATTTCTATTTTCGGTCGTCTCACCTTATTTGTTATTTCATTTTTAGGATATATACTTATACATTTTAAATTTCATAATTTATAATTTTCTTAATCTTTAGTTAAACTATTTAGTTATCTTAGTCTTAATCTATAATTAGTTTTATTATATAACGATAATTATATTTACTAATATACTTTTTAATTACTTACTAATTATACTTTACTTAAATTCTCGTATCTACAGTAAACCGGACACAAATGTGGGGTGGATTAAGTAATATTTAATGTAATATTTTGTGAGATGAAATATATATATATATATCTTTTTTGGAAAACACTGTCTAAACAATGAAGTTTGGAAGATAAAAAAACCCAAAAAAGCAAGTGTGTTTGTTTGGGGGTTTGGATTGAAATAGTTAAATTTTGAATTGAAATAGTTGTTTGATGTAATATTTGATGTAATATTTTGAATGTAAAATTAAGTTTAGTATATATATATATATATATTAACCAATTTGTACTTGCTACATATAAACTTGGGGACACAAATGCAGGGTTAACAGCTACGTACCATGCCAACAACGAGTATTGCAACCTGTCGGATATGGCGAACGGCTATAAGGTGTTCGCTAGCGTGTTGTCGCAGGCGGAAGAGTGAATCCCAGTACGGTACGCGCCTTTTCTTGAACACCAAATTTATTTTGTGATGTTCGGTTAATAAAATAGCGGTATTTGAAGGAAAAATAAGAAGTCATGTTTGTAGGCATGAGTGAGTGAGAGCAATAAGCATTGATTGCAGTGTGTATGTGTTGTGTGGGATCTGATCATCTTCTGTTGTTTGTTTGATGGTTGAAACAATTATGCCAAGTTTGAGTGTTCTTATGAATTGATTTTTTTTGTGCCATATCCGAGTTTAGGAGTTTACATTTGTGTGGAATATATGGGCAAAATTGCATGTTATTGTGATAGGTGCCCGTTACTATGATGATTTGTTATTTTCGGCACTGTGCTTATAGTACACAATAGAGCTAAGTTTGTATGATATATAATATTAACCGAGATTATATTATAATATTATTGTTGATGTAATTTTTCAACAAAAATAAAGTAAAATTCAAAGATATAGAAAATATCCTTAAACTTGATTAATTAGTGCCTGAGATTAGGAATCTCTAAACACTGTATGGTACAGAAAATAAACTAGAAAATAAAAGACTGAAATTTAAAGTGGTGATCCCCAAATCTGACTTTGCTTTGTTGAAGTTGATTGAAGATGCCTTGCCAAATGATGATCCAAATCCTTAAATATTCTCTGAAGAAACTGTACTGAAAACCGTCGCCCGAACGGTTACAACGTCTCCTTCCCAACCGTCTTCCAACCCTTCTCCTGCTGACACGTGTCCTCAGCAGACCAAAATTATCCCTATATTTCACTCTTTGAGCCGACTACAGACCTTCCGCCCTTTTAGCCCGACTGCCAATCTACAATAGTATGGGTCCGACTGCCAATCCTCCCGACTTGCAAACCATCTGACTTGTTTGAATTAGCTACAAACATCCCGACTAACAAACCACCCGATTTGTTGGTTCTGCCGCAGAATTCCGATCTGAGAACTTCCCGACCTGAGGACCTCCCAACTTGCGGACTTCCCGTCCTGAAGGCCACCCGTCTTGAGGACCTACCGACCAGAGGTCCTTCCGTCCTGATGACCTTCCGTCTTGATGACCTCCCGACCTGAAAACCTTCCGACTTGAGGTCTTTCCGTCTTGAGGACCTCCCGACCTGAAAACCTTCCGACTTGAGGTCTTCCCGTCTTGAGGACCTACCGACCTGAGGTCCTTCCGTCCTGATGACTTTCCGTCTTGAGGACCTCCCGACCTGAAGACCTTCCGACTTGAGGTCTTCCCGTCTTGAGGACCTACCGACCTGAGGTCCTTCCGTCCTGATGACTTTCCGTCTTGAGGACTTCCCGACCTGAAGACCTTCCGACTTGAGGTCTTTCCGTCTTGAGGACCTACCGACCTGAGGTCCTTCCGTCCTGATGACTTTCCGTCTCGAGGACCTCCCGACCTGAAGACCTTCCGACTTGAGGTCTTTCCGTCTTGAGGACCTACCGACCTGAAGACCTTCCGACCTGAAGTCTTTCCGTCTTGAGGACCTACCGACCTGAAGACCTTCCGACCTGAAGTCTTTCCGTCCTGTATTTTCCTTGATTTCCACACGGTGTCCTTCAGCCGGTTCAACCAACTCTATCGCCAGGCCCATTCTCCTTTTTACCTTGGGCTTTTAACCTAATTCTAAATTTCGTACGTAACAACTTGCCCGCCGCCAAGGGACTTTCAAACGCCATTTAACAATCAATGTTTGGAAGTTCATACATCACTACTCTCTTGAAAAATTTTCTTAGCAACTGCACCAGTTACTGCAACACTCCTGAGTAACTTCCTTCCCCGCAATACGAGCTTTTGTGAATCACAATCCCAAAATACTCTAATCATGGCGAATCAATACATTCCTGCCCTTCCTTTCGACGGAACCCTCCCAGAGGGCCCATTTTCAGCCTCGAAAGTACTAACTCCGACGATCCGCCCATATTGCATTACCCCTGAAGATTCAAATCGGATGAGGGAAGTTTTGGAATCTCGAAATTCCCTGGCTATCAACAACCCTAACTACCAAGCAATTCGCATTCGAGACAGCATCAAAACCCATCTCACAGACCCAAAAGATCCTTACCGCGCTTGGTATCGACGGGTAGCAGAACACTTCCAAACCCAATGGCGATCTCAAAAAATCGACCAGGCCATACTATTGTCCACCATGCCTATCAACCTGCATGAGAAGGTGCTGTTGGCCATGTCTGCCTTCTGGAATGCGGAAAATGGGACTTTCCTCTTACCATCAGGCCCCTTTGGCCCAACTCTTATGGATGTGGCAATGATCGCGCATCTCCCAGTCGTGGGTGAAGACCCTGTGATGGGAGCCTTAGATGGGCAGGAGCCATCAGAAGACCATCCAGGGTGGTCTTTACAAGGTGTGAAGGAATGGGGTTGGACAAAGTTCGCAACCGACCAGCAAGGGGCTCCAGGGACCCCTGTAACCGACCGGGAGCATACTGCTTTTATCCTTTTTTGGCTTTGTAGGTACGTTATTGTTTCCCCTTCCAAATGTGTTCTTCCTTCTCATCACGTATATAATTTCCAATTCTTATATTCCTTTCCGCTCCAACCCTGAGACTGTAGAAACATTCAATGAATGGTGGTCGGTTGTATGGCCCCTGATTTCCCCTGATGAGGGTCGGTTGCTGAACATACTCCTTCCCCCCTAAGGATTGGTTCTAGGGGCGGCTAGACACACTAGCACCCAGCCACAAACAGTCGCCCCGGGGACCGGATCTAGTGTTCCAATACGAAAAAGGAAAGCTTCCCAGCTGCAAACACCCCCGACCTCTGGGACCGACCAGCAAGCTCAAGCGGACCTTGGAACTACTAGGACGTCAGCAAGGACCCGACCCCGACTAGGTAATTTTTCTTAAAACCGTGAACCAATTCACTATATCTTAACTTTGATTTCACTTATTTCATTCACCAGAACCGACCTTGGTGACACCGACCACACAACCGACGCCAGCCCCAGCCGACCATTCAATCGGACCTTTGGTCCAAACCAATTTGCCAATGAGCAGTCGGGCGGAGGACCCGACGAGGAGGCAAACTCTTCCTCCCGTACCGAGGAGTGGTCGGGTCAGGCACCCGACCAGGAGGCAATCTTTACCAGCAGTGCCTATAGAACCAGTAAGTTCTCTCATCAGCAATACTTAGGATTCTAATGACCAACTTTGATATATTTAACAACAACATTTCCATGATTTTTCACAGACACCTTCACCCATCGAATCAGCAGCAGGGGTCTCTTCGGACAGTGAGGGGACAACTTCCCAGATGGGTCAACCGCCATACATGGCATCAGACTCATCCATTTCGAAGGAAGGACCAACTGCCCTCGCCGAAGCTGACCCTCAAAACGACATCCTTGATGTTGCTGATCCCGAAATCGAAGGTGCCCCAGAGATCCCGGCTGCAGTGGCTCTAGATGCAGCCGCCCAACCTGCAGCCGCCCAACCAGCAGCGGCGCTCCCTCTAGCCATCGAGTGGCAGGCAGAAGAACCACCTGCGGCAGCCCAACCTCCAGAAATGGAAGAAATGTCTTCGTCCGAATCGGAGACTTCTGTGAATTTGGTAAGATTAAACCAATCCATGCTACAATGTTTCTTTCAGAAAACACTAACTGTTTCATATACTACTTTCCATAGGGACCCAGGTCGGCACCTCAGCGACCACTCGCAGCAGCCGACGAGTCGGCTGCTGTTATACCAGCTGTCTGCCCTACTCGACCGACCTCATTGCTGCCCCCCTCACTGACAGCAGTCCACCCAGAGGTAACACATATCTTATCTGAATACATTTGCACCTCCCTTGGATTACTTATTGACATTGTAGGACTTGCAGGGGCCTTCGGACTTAGCTGTCCTATCGACTGTTCCGGTTCCGGCGGAGGCCCAAACTATATTCACTGAGGCCATTAACCATCCCCTGTCAGAATTAAGGTCCGACTTATTGGACAAACTCATTCAGACGGTTGGTGGCCTTCTTTTTTACACTCCAACGGAATCACCAGCCGTCCCCATTCTGCATCGGCTGATGGAAAGACTTACAGAGCTCAAGACCGAAGTGTTAGTCATTGGACTCCTGTCAGCCGAAACCTCCCAGCCCGACTTTGATCAAACAACGCTGGAGAATTCTTTGGCTAAGACCCGAGAATCCCTTCAGCAGACTACTGGAAGGCTGGGCGGTCTCCTTAGCATGAAAGCTCAAGTTGATGAAGCTATTCAGAAAAAGGAGGCAGAATTGCGGGAGCTAAGGAAAGAACAGTCTACCCTGGATAAGCAAATTACCAATGAGCAGCGTCTGCTTGAGAAATATACCAAGAATGAGGCTGAATTGGATCAAGAGCTGAAAACCCAAGCCCGATCCCAATTCATCATAAGATATCAGACGGCTGCCAATACCAGAAGGCTATCCAGGGATGAAATCAAGTGGACACATATAAAAACTGCCCTAGGGGCACTTTTGTAATACTTCCCCCTTTGTAACACCAATTGACTTAGTAATCCATTTTTTCTTTCTTCTCTCAAAACGAGGATCACCTTTCAATTTCCAATTTTGTAGGAATCGCAACAAACTCCTTCGTTAAAAGAACATTGTTTCTCACATTTTAAGAAACACATTCCAAGGCATATTTTGAAAATCAAAACACTTGAAGTGTTAACAAACATGGCGAATGACCGACCTCATGTTCCATCAAGCAACTGGGAAGGTGTCCTTCAACCCTTCTTTGTGGGTAATCACCCTATTGGAGGCCATGCAGAAGACTTGTTACATATACTCAAGCAACTAGACTTCAAATTCCGATTCTCCCAACGAGGAAGAAGAACCATTCATCGCGTCATCCGCCTGATGGAAAAAATCATCGAGGGATATGAACCTCTTCGTGACATCCTTAGCCGCATTCCTGATCTTCATCATCACATGGAAATGATTGAAAATCACGCAGCAACCATACTTCCAGACCTTGGTTGGGATAATATATTTTCCAATCAACGAAAAGTCTTTTCAAGATTGCGCACCATTGTTGACCGTGAACATCAAGCCCTAACAGACATGCAAGCACGTACCCATCAAGATCTAGACGACATGCAAAGCCAATGGGAAAGGTACCGACCAGATTTGGAAGATCTTATTGAAGAAGAACCAGAACTAATATCCACTCACTGGGATGAAAAGTCTGATTCAGAGGCAGAAAATTTCTCACAAATACATGATGACTAACAGAAATGAACCTTTAAATAGGTTCGAACCCCACAAATGGGTGCTGAGAATAATATTTTGTTTCAGGCAGTTTTGTTATCTGAAAAGGCAGGATAATACCTCTTCAGATATTTAGCATTAATACAATCATGTACTCTTCTTCCTTCATGATTTACAATAATGAAAACGCCATTCCCAATATCTTTTTGAATAATGTATGGTCCTTCCCAATTCGGTGACCACTTTCCCAATTGGTCAGTTTTCTTATACGTAGGAAGGATGGTCTTCCAGACTAGGTCGCCTTTTTGGAATGTCCTGTGAAGAACTTTCTTTCCATAACTCTTTGCTCTGATTTCATTCTGTTTCACACTTCGACTTATTGCCTGAAGTCGGCTAACATCCAAATCCTCCAACTGTTGCAGCATAAGTTGTTGGTATTCTTTTGTAAAATCACCATCAATAAACTCTGTTCGACCAGATGATACTCGGATTTCGGCTGGTAAAACAGCATCTTGGCCAAACGTGAGTTGGTAAGGTGAGAACCCTGTGGCCGTATTTCTGGTATTCCTATGTGCCCATAAAGCCTGAGACAATAACAAATGCCACTTTCTTGGGTTCCCTTCAACCATCTTCTTTATAATCCCAATAATAACCTTATTTGCTGCTTCCGCTTGTCCATTGGCTTGGGGATAATAAGGTGAAGAATGATGTAATCGAACACCAAATTCTGCCAAGAAACTAGAGAACTTTTCCCCTGTGAAAACCAGGCCTTGGTCGGTTGTTATAGACTGAGGAATACCATATCTGTAAATAATTTGATTCAAAACGAAGTCTATCACCTCCTTCTGATCTACATTTTTCAAAGCAACCGCTTCTACCCATTTGGTAAAGTAGTCAGTCGCGACCAATATGAAACAATGATGTTTCGATGAAGCGGGATGTATCTTACCAATAATATCCATAGCCCATGATTTAAAAGGCCATGGTTTTGCCAAAAATTGCAATTCGGTTACTGGCAAATGGTTTAAGTTTCCATGTCTCTGACATTCCTGGCAGCCTTTGGCAAATTGTATGCAATCTTCAAAAATCTTTGGCCAGAAAAACCCCAAACGATGAATGGCCCATCTCATATTCAGACCTGCCCGATGAGCTCCACATATCCCACCATGTACTTCTGTCATTACCTCTAGAGCTTCTTTAGACCCCAAACACTTCAAAAGTAAACCTTCAAATGATCTCTTATACAAAATTCCATTTATCAATTGAAAACGTAAAGCTTTCAATCGTGTCGCAATCGAAACACTCGCACCTGGATTCTGTAAATACATGATAAGCTCTGCTCTCCAATCGGGCACTGTTTCACCGTCGGACTCCTGCCTGATATCAACTACGCAGTCGGGCTCCTGTCCGACAGTCTCCTGCTCGACCATAACTTCACAGTCGGGCTCCTGTCCGACAGTCTCCTGCTCGACCATAACTTCGCAGTCGGGCTCCTGTCCGACAGTCTCCTGCTCGACCATAACTTCGCAGTCGGGCTCCTGTCCGACAGTCTCCTGCTCGACCATAACTTCGCAGTCGGGCTCCTGTCCGACAGTCTCCTGCCCGACCATAACTTCGCAGTCGGGCTCCTGTCCGACAGTCTTCTGCCCGACCATAACTTCGCAGTCGGGCTCCTGTGCAACTATCTCCTGCCCGACCGTAACTTCGCATATCGGGTCTGTCTTTCCTTCTATGCCCGACTTGACCTCCGACCACATATCCTCCAGAATTCCTTTACATGCCCTTTGAGCCAATTCATCAGCACGTTGGTTTTCTTTCCTCGGAATGAACTCAATTATTACTTCTGAGATTTTTGTCAGTAACCGACCCACAATGTCCCTGTATCTGCGAAGATGAGGGTAATTGCAAACATATTGATTGTTTACCTGGTTGACTACTAATTGAGAATCCCCCCTTATGATTACAGACTGGACCTTCCTGGCAATTAAAGCCTCCAAACCCAAAATTAAAGCTTCATATTCTGCCGAATTATGGGTCATGGCTTCCAATCGTAGTTGTAAGTTGATCTTTTGACCATCAGGTCCTTGCAAAAAGACCTCTGCCCCTGATTTGTTTCCAGAGGTAGAACCATCAAAGAACATCAACCATGTTCTGGTACTTATATAAGGCACACATCCGACCTGTAGATTATCCAGATATGATGAACAACTAAATGGTCGGACACTATCACAAAGAGAATACCCGACTTGTGAGAATTCTGCCAAGAAGTCGGCTACTGCTTGTCCCTTAATTGCCCTCAGCGGGGAATGTTGAAGATCGAAAGGAGCCAATTTGATGGCCCACTTCATGAGTCTGCCCTTCATAGTAGGTCTCTGTAAAATCAATTTGATAAGATCCACCTTTGATATGACCTCAATTCTTCTGGGCAGCAAATAATGCTCAAGTTTAGTACAAGCGAAGACCAATGAATAACACATTTTTTCTGGCATAGTGTAATTCAGTTCTGGTCCTGTAAGGGTTTTACTGAGATAGTAGATTGCCCTTTCCTTCCCGTCATCACCATCCTGTGCCAATAAACAGCTAACCACTTCATATGTATTTGCCAAATAAAGTTTGAGTGGCCGACCTTGTTTAGGAGGCATCAAGACTGGAGGGTGAACCAATGCCTGCTTGATAACATCTAAAGCCTTCTGTTGATCGGGACCCCATTCAAAAGCATGTCTTCCAGCTTTCAACAATTTAGTAATGGGTCTGACCTTGCCAGCAGCATTAGAAATGAAACGCCTCAAATAGTTCACCTTACCCAAAAAACTCTGGATTTCTTTAACCGTCTTGGGTGGCCGACTATCAAGAATGGCTTTAGCCTTATTGGCATCAATTTCAATTCCTCTCTCATGAACTAAAAATCCTAAAAAGCTCCCGGCTGATATTCCAAAAGCACATTTGGTTGGATTCATCTTCAACTTGTACTTCTTCATTCTTTCGAATGCCTCTTCAAGATTTCTCAAATGTTCGTCAAAACTGGCAGATTTAACAATAACATCATCAATATAAACTTCCATAGATCTGCCAATTAAATCATGAAAGATTGAATTCATGGCTCTTTGGTAAGTTGCCCCTGCATTCTTTAACCCGAATGGCATGACTGTCCATTCATAAATACCTAAAGCCCCTGGGCATCTGAATGCTATCTTAGGAATGTCTTCTTCTGCCAGAAATATTTGGTTATAACCTGCATAACCATCCATCAGACTAAGGATTTTATGCCCTGCTGCTGCATCTATCAACATGTCGGCCATAGGCATCACATATTCATCCTTAGGGGTAGCTAGATTCAAATCCCTGAAATCGATGCATATCCTGATATTACCATTTTTCTTGACCACTGGCACAATATTAGCCAGCCACTCCGCATAACGGCAAGGCTGAATGAAACCCACTTTGAGAAGTTTTTGGATTTCTTCCTTGATTTGAGGCATCAGATCCGGGCTCATTCGCCTTGGAGGTTGTTTGTAAGGTTTACAACCTTCTTTGATAGGCAATCGATGCTCTATTAGACTTCTTGTCAAACCAGGCATCTCTGAATAATCCCATGCTAAACAATCAATGTTGTTTGTAATAACTTCGAGCATCATTGTTTGTTGCTCTTTAGACAAATAACCACTTAACCTGATCACTTTTGGAACCAATTCGGTTCCTAAATTAAACTCCAATAATGGGTCTTGTGATGAAGCTGTTGGTTCTGTTTTTTCTAATAAGTCGGGCCAACGAAATTGTTCATCTTCTTGGAGGTGAACATCCAGAATCTCTTTACTATTTTCTGCTTTATGTAATAACTGCTTTAAATAGAACTTATTAATAAGAGAACTACATACTTCTAAAGCTTGTATCTTCCATAACAAACAAATTATATAGGAATGGGTGTGGCTTTATCATGAGCCATACAATAAAGGTGTTCTTTTAATAGAACATTGAATTCTGGCCAGTGACTTTGTAACCCTTGTTTGGGTATTCCCTGGCCATATACAATTGAGACATCGGAGCCAAAGGACTGGAATAAAACACTGACTCTTCAACTTGTTCTGATACATCAAATGGGTTGTCATTCGCTTCCATTTTGAAAACCTGATTTCCTTCCCAGAACATTAATTGTTGGTGCAAGGTTGATGGCACACATTGAGAGGCATGAATCCAGTCTCTTCCCAGCAAGAGAGAGTATGTAGTATCTGCGTCCACAATAAAGAAAACAGTGGAGATCTTCTTTGGCCCGACCTCGATCGTGGCAACCATCATGCCTTCAGGCTTAGTCGGCTGCCCTGTAAAACTTGTCATTTCGAATTCCACAGGAGACAGATCATGAATTCCTTTCCCTAACTTCTTGAGGGTCTTCAATGGCATAACATTAAAGACTGCTCCATTATCCACGAAAACCTTTGTGATTGGTTTCCCACAAATGTGAGCATTAACATACAGAGGTTTCAAATGGGAGATCGCACCTCTGGAATAGGAGGAAACACAATCGAAGGTGTTTCCGACTGAGGATCGGAATCTGAGGTCTTTGCCCACTCTGTTTCCTCTAATTCACCATCTGCCAAGAATGCCCATAAAGGTTCGTCCATAGTTTCATCTACCAGACTCGCCCACATCGGTTCATCACTCATCTGATTAATCTCTGTCATTCGACAAGGGATTCGTGGTCCCAAACGAGATTTAACAGATCTTGAACTTTCCTCTGTAGTTACTACTTCTTCCTTTGTCTTATCCCGAGATTGAACCGTCAAAGATTCTATGCGGAATTCCTCAGGAGATGGATTGATGTTGATCCATTCACAATGTTGGCATCGAAAACCTCTAATTATTTCATCTGCCATTCCTTTATCTTTCCTCTGTCCCGACGAACTTCTTTTGGTATAGTCGGACGCGCCTAATCCGTCGTTCGGTTGCTTTCTTGACCAGTCCCTACTGGACCGACTTACTGGAGACTGAATGGCTGCTACCTGCTCGTTGGTCGTTTGTTCTGTAAAGACTCTAATGGACTGATCTCCTGCCAAGTGGTCGGCTGCTTTTTGTTCGTCGGTTTGATGTTTTGTTGAAGGAACTCGTTTCCCATACTTTGCAGCATACCTGCGTTTGGCATTGCGAATCTGTGTACGATTCATACCTGGAAAACGAGGATCTATATCAACGGGTAAAGGCTTTTTATTTCGAGCCCAATTGTGCCCGACTGAACCTGTTTTTCTGGTCGGGTGGTCGCGCACTAAAACCTTTTCCTTCACTTCCACATTAAAAGAACCGTCTGGACGGTCCCATTTTTCAGCGACTGGCTTCTCACAAACTTTGAATCGTTCTTCCGGTCGGCTGCTGTTTGGCTGATTTCCTTTCTTTGTTCCGGGGCTTGCCTGAGTTCGTTCCCCTTTTTGTCCGCTATTGGCCGAACTTTTCCCTGTTTCCGAACTTGGTTGGATATCGACCATTGCCGTTGTTACTTTCGGAAACGGTTGCTGGTCTACACCTAAAGTGATGTATTTGAGCCGACCTGTCTTGATGGCCTTTTGAATTTCCTTCCTGAAATGAGTACACTGACTTGTACTGTGTGTGAAAGAATTATGCCACTTGCAGTATGGTCTCCCTTTGATTTCTTCTTTAGTGGCCAGTCTTTGCCCCTTTGGAATACGGATCTGCCCATCAGTCAGTAAGATATCAAAGATTTCATCAGCTTTTGAACTATCAAACGTCGGTTGCTCCTTTCCTTCAGATCCTGGTACTGGCTTCAATTTAGGGCATACATAAGGTTTTCCAGAAAGGATTTCGGCTGCCATCTCTTCTGATTGATTAAAATCAAAGTCACATGTTTCTGTTCCCATACTCGCCATATGTTGGCCTCTATTACGCCTGTTATGCTGATCTTCCTCTCTGAACAAAGACTCTAAACGTCCCGCCTTGGATGCAAGACTTGCCAAATCCTCAACATCCAGGGCAGTGAGTGCCTTTCTTAAACGAGTATGCATATTCCGGACCACTAAATTGGTCATCTCTTTCTCACTGATTACCGTAGGACATCGTCCCTTCATCAATCGCACCCTTTCTATAAACTGTGAAGCAGATTCTTCTGGAAACTGTCTCAATTCTAGTAAATCAGTTAAAGAAACAACTGGTAAAGGATTGAAGAATCTAGCGTGAAATGCCATCTCCAGTCCTTCCCATGTCTGAATTTGTCCAGGAGGCAGACTTACAAACCACGAAAACGCCGTTCTAGTAAGCGATAAACCAAACAGCTGTAACTTATAAAAAGGGTTATTGCCAACTTCTCCTAATTGTGCTGTGAACCGACCAACATGTTCTATGGTGGAGGATCCGTCCTCCCCTGAGAATGCATGAAAGTCGGGTGGTCGAAAATTCCTTGGGAGAGGGTGTTCATTAATGATCCTTTCTGGGAAAGGTCTCTGATATGCAGGGCGGTTAGCCATCTGAGGAGTTAATCCATACTGATCCCTTAATATATGTGCAATCTCATCAGGATCTACATGAAAGCGTTGATGATCAGGAACATGGAACGGATCCTGCATAGGAATATGAATAGGATCATGTATATATCCTTCAGGCCTGTCCTCCCTTGAATTGTTCGGCTGTGAATTGGTGACCCTTGGTCCCAATGGAACATTGTTGGGAAAAGTCAAAGGAGATTTTCCCCTATCCATTCGGTTGGGATTTGTGGCACTTGGGAATGTACTATCCACGAATGATGGCCCTGCGAAATTTGCCTGTGGTCTGGACGGGGACACTCCTGGTGGCGTTTGAGTGGGTTGAAGACTAACCCTTGACAGTGCTTGATCTATCATGTTCTGCATCAGACTCTGTTGCTCACGCAACATGTTCGTTTGTTGCTCACGCAACATATTCTGCATAACCAAAGTATGCTGGTTGTTCATTTGTTGAACATAAGACCACCAATCAGTTGGTGGTTGTGGGATTTCCCCGGCATTTGGCACAATAGGTGGTGGAACGGATTCTCCCACCGGTGCCGAAGATGACTGTGGTTGTGAACCTGCCATATGGACCCTTCCGATGATTCGGCCGGATCTAAGACGTATGAAATTATCGCCGGAATTGGAATGAGCAATTGTGTCTTGCTCCCACTGTGGTCGCCAATTTGTTGATGTAATTTTTCAACAAAAATAAAGTAAAATTCAAAGATATAGAAAATATCCTTAAACTTGATTAATTAGTGCCTGAGATTAGGAATCTCTAAACACTGTATGGTACAGAAAATAAACTAGAAAATAAAAGACTGAAATTTAAAGTGGTGATCCCAAAATCTGACTTTGCTTTGTTGAAGTTGATTGAAGATGCCTTGCCAAATGATGATCCAAATCCTTAAATATTCTCTGAAGAAACTGTACTGAAAACCGTCGCCCGAACGGTTACAACGTCTCCTTCCCAACCGTCTTCCAACCCTTCTCCTGCTGACACGTGTCCTCAGCAGACCAAAATTATCCCTATATTTCACTCTTTGAGCCGACTACAGACCTTCCGCCCTTTTAGCCCGACTGCCAATCTACAATAGTATGGGTCCGACTGCCAATCCTCCCGACTTGCAAACCATCTGACTTGTTTGAATTAGCTACAGACATCCCGACTAACAAACCACCCGATTTGTTGGTTCTGCCGCAGAATTCCGATCTGAGAACTTCCCGACCTGAGGACCTCCCAACTTGCGGACTTCCCGTCCTGAAGGCCACCCGTCTTGAGGACCTACCGACCAGAGGTCCTTCCGTCCTGATGACCTTCCGTCTTGATGACCTCCCGACCTGAAAACCTTCTGACTTGAGGTCTTTCCGTCTTGAGGACCTCCCGACCTGAAAACCTTCCGACTTGAGGTCTTCCCGTCTTGAGGACCTACCGACCTGAGGTCCTTCCGTCCTGATGACTTTCCGTCTTGAGGACCTCCCGACCTGAAGACCTTCCGACTTGAGGTCTTCCCGTCTTGAGGACCTACCGACCTGAGGTCCTTCCGTCCTGATGACTTTCCGTCTTGAGGACCTCCCGACCTGAAGACCTTCCGACTTGAGGTCTTTCCGTCTTGAGGACCTACCGACCTGAGGTCCTTCCGTCCTGATGACTTTCCGTCTCGAGGACCTCCCGACCTGAAGACCTTCCGACTTGAGGTCTTTCCGTCTTGAGGACCTACCGACCTGAAGACCTTCCGACCTGAAGTCTTTCCGTCTTGAGGACCTACCGACCTGAAGACCTTCCGACCTGAAGTCTTTCCGTCCTGTATTTTCCTTGATTTCCACACGGTGTCCTTCAGCCGGTTCAACCAACTCTATCGCCAGGCCCATTCTCCTTTTTACCTTGGGCTTTTAACCTAATTCTAAATTTCGTACGTAACAATTATATACAACACGTGCTGTGACATAGATACTATTATAATAAGCTGATTGCGATTTATTATCATTGTAACAATAAGAGTTTGTGTTTTTAGTGCGTTTTTATTTAAGATATTTTTGATATGAAGTATAAAAATTGTGTCGGTAATAAAAAATAATATTTTACATTGAAGTTAGATTTTTTATTACATATATATTAAAAATCATGTCGAATAAAAAAAAAAATCAAATCCTAAACAAAGCTCTTTCTTTACATTGGACAGGATTTCTCTACTATTTATTAAATTTTTTAATTTTTATTTTTTTTATTAAATTTACATATTTCATTTTCATTATCTAATGGAGTATATAATAAAAAACAATTTGTTATTTAAATTGTTATTTCCAAATAGTTATTCAAGAACAAATAAATAAAACGTTATAATCAAGAATGGGCTATTTAACAGTCGAACCCGCCAACAACAGTAATATACGTATGTACATGTCACGTCCTATTGATATCCATTTCCTTCTCAAGCCGTTTCCCTTCCGGGTGTACGATCCTCTTCTTCTTCTCCCTCTCCTCCTCGCTCTCGCATTTTACGCGCTCTTCGATGAAAAAATCAGGACTCCTGATCAGAAACGTTGAATCGGTTGGCTGATCGATCAATTAGGTCTGAGGAAAATACCGGAGCACCACCAAATTCGACACAATGTTGATGTCTTGTTCCTCTACGTCCTCGCGGTGGAGCCACTACAAGAATTTCCGCCAAATTACCCGTGAGAGTAAGTTGATTTTTCGTTTCTCCGCTTCTCCTCGATGAACTTGTAGAATTTTTGTGTTTTGTGATTGGGTGGAGTGAAATGCTGCGGTTTTTGCTGCTCTTGACGTGATTTATTTTTCCCCTCTCTGAAGAAAGAGTGAATGAATGATTTGTTTTAATGTTTTATTAATTCCTTAGATTTTGCCTTTGCTTTTTTTTTTTGTTTTTGTCATGGTGGAGCTACAAGACGTGAGTAAATTTGGATGTGTAATAAGGGATTGTTCATTTTTCGGAGAATGCAGGACAAGGAGATGATTTATTCTTTTTTTTTTTTTCTCTCCCCTGACAGTGTTAGTGAAAATTGGAATATTCATAGTGGATAACTTGTAGTAGTAGTGCTAGCAACCAACTTTTGATGAATGTATTTTCACAGTGTTGATCTGCAATTGAAATTGCTTCAATTGGCTCTCCTTAGTTGAATATTATTTTTGAGAATAAAATTAGGAGTGGTGTTTGTATAATGTGCCTTATAATGAGCTTTACCATTGAAGGCGACTTGATCTGCATTGTGAATGAATCTTAATAGTTTGAACCTGAAGCTAAATTTGTTATGGATGATTGGTCCCAGGCAGTAATTGTAGTTTTTAGTTTATTTAATCTATGGGCCTTGAAAAATGTCTTTTACTTGAGGAAAGCTCAATGTTTTAATGAATTACACTTTGATATTTTGATTTTAAAAAGAAGACCCATAATCTAGGATATTTTGTAGTTATTATTATTATTTTTTAAAGTTTTAATTCTTGAATGACATAAAATATGTTTCATGAGGTACTCGGTACTTATTTTTGTGGTTTGCTAGCATAAAGATTTACTTTGGTGGGTCTGATATTGTGTTTGATCTTTTCTCCTGCGGATAAGAACATTCTTAGCTGTTGAATTAGTGAAATCTCATTCTCAATTCAGACATTTTCTGCTATCCTCTTGAGATGAAGTACAGCTATCATGTTTGAATGCATTTTTTATACATAAAAATATTAACCAAACATGAATTCCTCATAATTAGAATTCTCTTTGTTAAATAGATACTAATATTCGACCATAAATCCTTATATCCTACATTCTAAAAATTAGTCACCACTCTTATTCGCAAGCTTATTGTCCAGTCATTATATGATGGTTTATATATTGATATAACAAAACCCAAACACTTTCAAGTCAAAGATAAATTCAAAATAATAAATTCTTCATGACTATTAACTTCAAAAAAAGTGCCATTTCACACATTCGAAACACCCAAAATATATGTTCACACAAAGTGTGTTTCTGAGTACCTATCTCTGGAAGGGAATACTATGCAGAGCTGTAATCCATGTGCACCATCAGGTGTTGTTTACTTCAGTTTTGAGACATCACTCTTCCATCACTGATAGCACTGATATCATCATTAAAATAATGAGTTAGACACGTAACAGTGTATGTAAGGCCTGTAGTTTTTATAAGTACTCATCTAGAGTTTGAAAAAAAAAAGAAAAAAGAAAAAAGAAAAATAAAAAGAAAGGTACCTACTTCTCAGTTCGGAAGCAAGTAGACCTTCAAATTAGGTGATTTCTTTCTTCTTGTCACTACTGGGAAAAATACAAAAATCATCATGTGACGTTTTTTTACATTTTGTTTTATGTATTGCACTTGTACAAACACTAACTTTTGTTTACAGAATTGTAAGTTTGTGGATTTGGTATTACACAAACACAGTAACTCATGTCTGTAAATGAAAAGATATTATTTTAATATAATTTCAAATCAATGTATTATATGCTCTTGTTAGTTATTGTTTCTGTTGAATCAACTCATGCAAGCCCTTTTAGTTTGATGTGGCATTTTAGTTATCTTCATTACATACTCATAACATTTGACAGGATTGTTATATGAAATGCTTCGATCAGCCAAATCTGGAAACTCCAAGTTCAGTTGGAAGGTAAGATAAGTGTTTCCTTAGAAACTGGTTCAGATTTCTAGGACTTGTCTCTGAAATTGCTAGACAACAAATTAGTTGCTTGGTAAAAAAGTGTTAATGCATAGTTTCTTATGTAGTTTTATTTGATCTCATATATTAAATATAATTAAACAACACTCCTAGATTTTAAGATAGCTTTAGGATGACATGGGCATCAATTGCTGTAAGCAGAGAGCACGAGCTTGACTCTCACTCATGGGGCAACAGTAAAAGTCAAGCTTTACCCCTGAGCAAGAGTTAAGATCTGTGGGTGCAGTTAGGTTGAATTTGGTTCATTGAAGATTGTGGTATTCTTAGATACTGGCTAGCTGGATAGAAGCAAGTATTACTATATCTTCAAATAGATACATTAATACATTGCATGTAAGAAAAATGACTGTAAACATGTATGTTAATTCATATGAGTTGTTTTCTCTTAGCCTTTAATTTGCATCCTAATAAAGTTCCATGTCGATTATGCATAATTTCCACCAAAAGTTTATATTGTCATGTTTTAAAGATTAGCAATGATGGCAGACAAAATAAATAAATAAATCGAAGCCAAAAGTGACCTACTTGTCTTCCTTACTACAGTACAGTGGACATCAACCTTTATCTTCATAGGTTGTCTTTTAACATCCTTGCCCCATTTATTCATGTACTCATTTCATATAAATGTTGTTGCACCCAACTTTTGACTCTTTGTCCTGTAGGTGCTCATTATGGATAGGGCCACGGTTAAAATAATGTCTTGTGCATGCAAGATGGCTGATATTACTGAGGAAGGAGTTTCATGTAAGAAGTAGAGCGCCATTGCCGCTGAGATTTTGTATGTTTGTTTGTTTCATTCATTGTGGATTTTGCTTAGTTTGCTTTGGGAGGACAATTTATTTGTGTTCTGTAGCTCTAGTTGGTTAGTGTGGAGTATTGTTGTTATACCTGATAACTAGTATACATGTTGTTAAGACCGGATCTTAAGCTCCATCTCAAAGCCAATTGGCAATGGGAAGAGTTCCCTTTCACCCTTATAAACAAGGAGAGCTCCCAAAATTTTTATCCATGTGGGGCACGTAACACTCCCCTTCAAGATGATATCCATCTCAAAACCAAATCCTAACCAGGATGAATATCATACCTAATAAGGACACCCATGGTTCTGATACCATGTTATGAAGGGATCCGAGGCTCCCCATCTCAAAACCAATTGGCAATGAGGGGAGTTGCCCTTTACCCTTATAAACATGGGGAGCTCCCAACATTTTATTTATGTGGGACACTTAAACACATGTTTCTTCAAATTGCAATTGATATGAATATCTCCAGATGTTTCAGAAACATCATTGATGGCTTTGTTTTTTCACACTAATGGCACAATACTGTTTCTAGAAGGTTGTTGATAGAGATTCAAATAATAAAGTCTATCTTTTTAGTAGGTCTTTATTTAGGCATTCCTAATTATGTTCATTGAATGCGTATTAGCTTCTTCAATGTGGATATTATTGGCTGAACATGATTGACTTTACTTGACAGATTCGTACTTTGCATGTACCTTTTGGGAAATGGAGATGAGTTCTTGAGAAATGCGAATTATTTTGTGTGCATACGGATTTATTATTTTAATTTTGTTGAAACATTCTGTAGTATAAGATGATTGGTTGAAAACTCAGTCTTTTAAGTAACTTCCACGTATGTGATGTTGTTACCTTTTAAATGTGATGTCTCATTTAATAGTCATTTGCCTGGTTTGAGTTATTAACATTTTTGTGGTAGAGAAGTAACATGCTGTGTGACCTACAGTGGTGGAAGACATACACAAACGAAGGCAACCATTGCCATCCATGGATGTCATATATTTCATCCAACCAACACAGGAAAAGTGAGCGACTTACTGTGAATGCACCAATGCTTTTGCAAAGTTCCTTGTCTTTTTGGTTGTTATTTCAAGTATATGTTTTTGTAGAGTTAAAATAGCTATAGAAAGTGAATTTTTATTTCTTTTTGGCTATATATGTTGGACAATATGGTCAGAAAATATACATTTGATTAATGCCACACCGTCGGAGTCTACTGAAGATGATCATTCTGGATTAAAACATAAATTTTATAAATTTGGTGGCACCCTCTGTTTCACTTGCTGAAATGTGTGGGTGCCATCAAAGAACACTTTTGGTTAGAACCATTCTACTTATTCCTGGTTCCTATTATATACATATATATTTTCATAAAATCTACAAAGTGACTTTTTCCTTGATCTTTGTCTTTCTCGTTCATGCTCTAATCCATTCTTTTTTTTTTTTTTTTTTTTTTAGTAAGTGTAGCATTGGTATATTTCTTTCTGAAGACTCACCATATAAGCATTAACTTGTTTCTTTCTTCAATCCCTCACATTTATTACTAATCCATTGGTTTACTTGAAATGCAGTGTTTCTATCTTTCTTTCCGACATGTCTGGAAAATCACCACTATACAGAAAGTATGCAAAGTATTTGACCGCTTGTTTATGTTTTTCTCTACAATCATATTGGATATTTCTCTATCGTCTTTCCTTATTTTCATGGGATAATATTTATTCCTAGTGTTTCATCATTCCATGTTTCCCATTTCTGTACCATTAGGGCATTTATATTCTTTAGTTCACCTGTTGCCCGAGAGTTGGTTGGTCCCATAAAGAGAGATGGGATCGTTTTATCTCGCATTGGTGCATTAAGAGAGGTTATTACAGCAGTCTTAATATTTTCATGATTTTTTATTTTTTAATTTGTTTGAATCGAGATCTTGTATTTATCTCATTTTGCTTTTCAAACATACAGATGAATTTGGAGTATTTTTCCATAGATAGTCAGGTGTGCCATCCTTCTAACTCTTGTTGATATACAACCCCCGCCCCATTCTGGCTGTAAATGCAAGTGGAAAGAAGCATAAGTGTGTTATCTCTGGTTTTTGCTAGTTTTTCTTTATCCTTCAAACCTAAAGCTCTTTGAAATTTGTATATTTTGTGCATTAAAACAAAAAATATATATTCTATATAGAAAGTTAATTGTTTGACATGCTTTATTTGTATTCAGTCATGCATATTCATCCATCAAGTTGATCTTTTTTGTTTTCTGGCTTCATTTCATAGATTAATTTCTCATGATAAGAGAGTTCAACATCCTTCTGGATGAAAACATGTTTAATTTTTATAATTGTAGTTGTATCTGTAGGGTTTTATCACTGACAATGAAAGAGCACTGGAAGTAGTATTTCAAGAAGATGAAAGCTCATCTAAAGGTGCCACATGTTTGCATTTGATGGCTACACGTATAGCAACAGTGTTTGCATCTTTGCGGGTATATGTTTATGTTCTGAAACTTTGGTCCATGAATAGGTTATGACAAAACCAATGCTTGTGTAACATTGTCATGTGACAGGAGTTTCCATTTGTTCGCTACCGTGCTGCCAAAACCCTTGATTCTAATACAACAACAACATTTCGTGATTTGATTCCTACAAAGCTAGCTGCTGCTGTTTGGAACTGTCTTATGAAGTATAAATCAAACCTCTCTGACTTCCCTCAGTCAGAGACATGTGAACTGCTTATTTTAGATAGATCAATTGACCAGGTCTCAATCTATATGTTCTCCAATCAGCATTTCATAATGTTTGTGTAGTCTTGTTTGGTTTAATTCTATCTTTTAAGCTCATTCATTTTTCCATGTGTTTGCAGATTGCTCCCATTATACATGAATGGACATACGATGCCATGTGCCATGATTTATTAAATATGGAAGGAAATAAATATATGCATGAGGTACACCCTAACTTCATATTCTCCAATAAACAATTGTTAGGGAATTCCTAATCCCCTCTGAGCAAGTACATTACTCAGGTTCCAAGCAAAGAAGGTGGAGCTCCCGAAAAGAAGGAGGTGCTTTTGGAGGATCATGACGCTATTTGGCTGGAACTTTGCCACACACACATTGCTGATGTATGTAGAGCATGCTCAAAAATCCCTGTTTATGGTATCTTGTTTTCAAAGAAAGTTCATATTCTCTTGTAAAGTTATTGCTATCAATGTTATAATGGCAGGCCAGTGAACGTTTGCACCAGAAGATGACAAACTTTGTATCAAAAAACAAAGCTGCTGTGATCCACAGTTCAAGGTTGGCTATGCACCATAATGTTTCATGATTTGTATCTGAATATTATGTTCGAGAATCAAAATTGAAATCTAGTTAGAAACTTATTGGTTTTAGACGAATACCCATAAAAGATTTTCATTCATATATTTCTACGGAGTTGTTTACTGAACATTGAAAATTTGAAGAGAGATAATGGAGCAATAAATATTGCAGGGTTGGGCTATCTGGCCTAGATGGCACGTTTTCATTAGTTTTTTCCTTCAAGGATTATTATAACCTTGTAAGAAAAAAAATCAAGCGTTGAGAAGTCAGCATATTCATTATGTCTCAACAATGTGCTGAGTAATTTCGACATCATGCAAATGCTTCTACCATTCATACACTTATTGATGTGGCTATCAATCTATACCCCCTTTGTTCCAACATAATTTGTGAAATTTATTGAAACGAATAATCTTATGGGCTTTTTTGCTAAACCCAATGCTTGAGGGAGTAAGGAGCTGTCCTTCTAAATTTAGTGATTCATTCTATGAGCTCCTTGTATTGTATTACTAAATTCTGCACATCCCTAAGTGATTCCTCACTCCTACCTTGTAACCTATGATTTCACTATAATTCAAGACATATTTTTCCTCTGAACCCAAAAAAAATTAAAATAAATAAAATAAAAAAATAAATCAATAAAAAAGAAATAGAAAAATGGAAAAATGATAGTGCATAAACTGGCATACTGATTCCTAGGATGCATTTGCATCTCAGCGGGTGAGTGGTTTCAGCTATCTTTCCTAAGTGTTCATTTTAGATATCTAATAGTCTTTTATTCTATAAATTGGGAGTCTGCAAATTGAAAATATTAGTGAATTAATGTGACTGGACTAAGGTTTTCATTTTAGGCAATATGACTATTTTGCTTATGTCTATTTGAAAGCTACCATCCCTTGTGACCAAGTTTCAGGAGTTGTGTATCCAGCTACCTGCTAAAATTAGTATGTATTAGTGTTAGTATCAAGCAATATTCTTGTACTTATCTTGAAGATAAGGCCAATAATATTTCTACCTCTGTCCTGTATATATGTTTTGTAATAGCATAACTGCTTGTGTTGTACCTTTCTGTATCACTCCTCTCTTATTCAATTGAAGTTTGCAGAGATGGAAGTGAGTTATCAACTCGGGATTTGCGAAAGATGATTCATGCTTTGCCTCAATACAGCGAACAAATTGAAAAGCTCTCTCTTCATGTTGATGTGAGTCATGCATTTCCATTTATGATTTATTGACTTTCTCAAATTGCAACAATGTTATTTGTCAACCCAATGATGCTTGTGAATTGATTTTCAATGGTGTACTTCTTGGTCCGGTAATTATGGTCAAATTTTCACTTGAGCGTATTTTCAGAAGAGAAATGAATCTATCCCAGTAGGTTATCTTGTGTTTCCAAATTTGTATACATTACTTGGTTTAGCAGAGGAACTCCCAATGCTTGGTTAATTGAGTAGTTAAGAATTGCAATATAAATTCAGGTTGGAAAATATATTCGATACATATTGTCAAAACTGTGATTGTATTTGTGTATTTTAGGAAGTTTTAATATTTGCTGTGCTGTATTCCTATAACATTGTATGTTTCCATTATTAGGTTTATGTATTTAGGATCAATCCCATAATCACAGGGATTTGTTTTCCTTAGAATTAGCTGTTCTAAAATAGACTTTAGACTCATGTATATATAGAGGTTAAGTAACCTCATAATTGATATAAGAAAGAATATTATTTCTTCCAAATTTGATATGGTATCAGAGCCGTGGTGCCCGTATTGGGTTTGGATCCTGTATGGATTTTCGAGATTATCATCTCGAGGGGGGAGTGTTGAATATTGTCCTACATTGCTAAATGTGTGGGATCTCCCCTAGTATATAAGGGTGAAGGGCCACTCCACCTATCACCAATTGGTTTTAGGTTGGATGCCCGGATCCCTTCTTAACATTGTTTAATATTGTCCCACATTGCTAAATGTATGGGATCTCTCCTAGTATATAAGGGTGAAAGGCCACTCCACCTATCACCAATTGGTTTTAGGTTGGATGCCCGTATCCCTTCTTAACATGGTATCAGAGCATTTGATCATTGGGAGTCTCTGACCGTAATTGCGCTACCTTTAAGCCCTGTCGCAGCCTTCATTGCAGCGCAACCCTCTTTACCTTGATCGCGCTTGGTCATGGATGAGGTCGTGAACCTGGAAACTGGGGACAAACCCCAGACTGTTGGAGAATTGCAGAATGTTCATTCTGTTTATCGGCTAAATGGGAAGAATCATCTCAAATGGTCTCAACTCATTAGGACCATCTTGAAAGGGAAAGGAAAGTAATGCACCCAAGGAAACAGATTCCTTGTTCAAATCATGGGATGAAGAAGACTCCATGATCATGGCGTGGCTGTGGAATTCAATGGTCCCAGAAATCAGTGATACCTGCATGTTTCTTAGATCAGCAAAAGAAATTTGGGAGGCAGTAGAACAAACTTATTCTAAGGCCAAGGATGCTGCTCAAATTTATGATGTAAAGGTGAAAACCGTGGCTGCCAAACAGGGAAATAGATCTGTTACAGAATATGCCAATCAACTCAAGTCTTTATGGATGGAATTGGACCACTATAGAGTTATAAAAGCAAAGTGTTCAGAAGACTCAGCCATTTTAAAGGAGTATATTGAACAAGATAGAGTCTATGACCTTTTGGTAGGCCTAAATCCTGAATATGACCAGGTCCGAATTCAAATCCTGGGAAAAGATAAAGTCCCAGGGCTTAATGAAGTGGTAGCCATTATCCGGAGTGAAGAAAGCAGGAGAGGACTAATGCTGGAGACCTCAACTGTTGAAAGCTCTGCAATGATAGCGGAAGGAGGAAGAGTCGTTGCTAACCAGAGGAAGAGCTGGGTTCCAAATATAGAGAAAAAACATGAGGAGGTTTGGTGTACCCATTGTAACAAACCGCGCCATACAAGGGAGTAGTGCTGGAAATTACATGGAAAACCCCCAAGCCGAGAATGGGGACCGAAAGGAGGCCCTCCAAAAAAAGGAAGGCAAGGGCAAGCACGCATTGCTAATGGACAAAGTGAAGAATTTGTCCAGCTGAATCATGTAGAGATAGAACGGGTAAGATCCATCCTCAATAAATTGGAGAACCCCACAGGTACAGGTACATGCTCCGTAACATATTTGGGTAAGTTTCCATTTCCTTTTGGGCTTAATGTTTCAGATACACCATTTACACATTACTGGATATTAGACTCTGGAGCCATTGACCATATGACCCCTCTACCCAAATACTTCTCCACATATTCCCCATGTCCTAGCAACAAGAAAATTTCCACAGCAGACGGAACCTTTATAACTGCAGACAAGGGGAGGTCCAGATAAGCCCATCCATGATATTAAAAAATGTCCTTCATGTCCCTAAACTATCTACCAATCTGATTTCTATACAGAAACTCACAAAAGACCTCCCATGTAATGTTGTTTTTTATAGCAACTCTTGTGTACTGCAGGACAAGAACTCGGGGAGGACGATTGGACATGCTAAAGAATGGAATGGCCTTTACTATATGGAGGAGCCTAATCTGCTTACCAATAGCCACTCTCTCATATCTGAATCCACCGTGACCAATAAAGAGAAAGCCCAACTTTACTATTGCCGTCTAGGACATCCTTCATTTCGAGTTATGAAGGTGCTTTTTCCGTCTGTGTTTCAAAATTTAAATGCGGAGAGTCTCCTTTGTGAGGTGTGTGAGTTTGCTAAACACAAGCGTTTACCTTTTCCTATTAGCACCAAGATGAGTTCTTTCCCTTTTTATCTTGTTCACACGGATGTATAAGGTCCTGCTCATGTTCCTAATATCTCAGGTGCTAAATGGTTTTTAACCTTCATAGATGATTGTACCCGGGTGACTTGGGTTTTTTAATTGAAACAAAAATCTGAGGTTAGCTCCGTGTTTGTTCAATTTGTCTCAATGATTAAAAATCAATTTGGGGTCGGTATCAAAGAATTAGGTCTGACAATGCCAAAGACTACTTTAACCTTGTCCTAAACTCTTTTTGTCACAAGGAAGGGATAATCCATGAGTTGTCATGTGTGAACACACCTCAACAAAATGGGATTGCAGAGAGAAAAAATGGGCACCTATTAGATCAAACTAGAGCCCTACTTTTTCAAAACCATGTTACTAAGAGATTTTGGGGGAAGCCCTTCTTACCGCCGCTTATCTAATAAATAGGTTACCCACTAAAATCTTCAACTCAAAAAGCCCCATGGAAGTTCTATCCTCATTCTACCCACACTTGGATCCTACAAATAAACTCCAACCTAGAATATTTGGGTGTGTATCCTTTGTGCATGTTCATAATAATGAAAGGAGAAAATTGGACCCTAGGGCTATCAAATGTGTATTCTTAGGGTATTCTACCACACAAAAGGGATACAAATGCTTTCACCCCTTATCAAAAAGATTTTGTGTCAAGAGATGTTACCTTCAACGAACAAGAGAGCTACTTCAAGCAGCCTCATCTTCAGGGGGAGAATGTAAGAAAGGAAGACGAGACTCTCATGCTTCCAAATATGACATTTGGACCTGAAATTGGGACAAATGGCATCGCTGTCCCTGAAATTGAGGGAAGACCTGCACCTGAACCTGAAATACCAGTACCTGAACCTGAACCTGCACCTAAACCAACAGAAATACCTGGACCTGAATCGGCACCTAATGGTGGAAAATTTGGGAAGAATCTGGTATATTCAAGGAGAGGAAAGGCCATTCCAGAATCTGGCAGTGTCCAAGAATCCAACCCATCATCACTGCATGAGGTAACACCTTCAAACCTTATAAATTCCAATGAGTCTAATGAGTTTGTTTATGAAAATATAGAAACACAGGTGGACCAAACTCTAGACCTACCCATTGCCCTTAGAAAGGAAACCAGAACCTGCACCCAACAACCACTTTACCCACTATCAAATTTTTTTATCCTTTGAAAAATTCTCGCCTACCCATAAAACCTTTCTCACAAACCTCAACTCCATACACACACCTTCCTCTGTATCTGAAGCATTGTCTGACAGGAAATGGAAACATGCCATGGATGTGGAAATGGAGGCGTTGAACAAAAGTAGGACCTGGGAACTTGTCACCCTACCACCCGGAAAAAAACCCGTAGGATGCAAGTGGGTATATGCAGTAAAGTACAGGGCTGATGGGACCATCGAACGTTACAAGGCAAGGTTAGTGGCCAAAGGCTTCACTCAAACCTATGGAGTTGATTACTTAGAGACATTTGCCCTGGTTGCTAAGATGAACACGGTCAGAGTAATAGTCATTGGCAGCAAATCATGATTGGGACCTGCAACAATTTGATGTGAAGAATTCTTTTTTGCATGGAGACCTTGAAGAAAAATATACATGGAGTTGCCCCTGGTTACAGTGGACAGGTTGCTGCTGGAACTGTTTGCAAGTTGAGAAAGGCTCTATATGGGCTGAAACAATCTCCAAGAGCATGGTTCGGTAGATTACCAAAGTGATAACAAGTTTGGGCTACAGACAAAGCCAAAGGGATCACACATTATTTATCAAACATTCAGTTTAGGGGGAGTAACAATTCTGTTAGTGTATGTAGATGATGTTATAGTAAATGGGGATGACAAGAAGGAGCAACAAGTGTTAAGTGAATACCTTGCCACAGAATTCGAGATCAAGACACTTGGGAAACTTAAATATTTTTTTGGGAATTGAAGTGGCCCATTCCAAGAAAGGAATCTTCATATCTCAACAAAAGTATATTACTGACTTGCTTAAAGAAACAGGTAAGACAGCCTGCAGACCGGCGAGTACTCCGGTTGACCCAAATATAAAGTTGGGAAGTGCAGAGGATGATATTGCTGTGGACAAGGAAATGTATCAAAGACTTGTGGGCAGACTTATTTACTTGTCTCACACTAGACCTGACATTGCTTTTGCTGTTAGTTTAGCCAGTTTATGCACCAACCAAAGGAAGCACATTTACAAGCTGCTTTTAGAATTGTCCAGTACTTGAAAGGGACCTCCGGAAGAGGGATTTTGTTCAAACGAAACAAGAATGTAAGTCTTGAAGCATATACGGATGCAGACTATGCGGGGTCAGTAGTAGATAGGAGATCAACCACTGGATATTGCATCTTCCTTGGTGGAAACTTAGGGTGTGTTTGTTTGGGGGATTGGATTTTGAGTTGGGATTTGAATAGTAAAAATTTTGAATTTGAATAGTTGTATGATGTGATATAAATAGGTGTTGATGTGATGTTTTGAATGTAAAATTGATTTTTAGTATAATATAAAAAATGAAAAATAGGTGTTTGATTTGATGTTTTTGGGGGGAAAATTTTAGATGAATAGTAGGATTTTTGTAGAATCCTTCAAACGAACAACTACTTAGTGACTTGGAAGAGTAAAAAACAGAGTGTAGTAGCTAGATCAAGTGCTGAAGCAGAATTTCGAGCAATGGCCCATGGAATATGTGAACTTCTATGGCTGAAGATCATATTGGAGGACTTGAAGATAAGATGGGATGGACCTATGAGGTTATATTGTGACAATAAATCTGCAATTAGTATAGCCCACAACCCGGTACAGCTTGATAGAACTAAACATATCGAGGTTGACAGACACTTTATCAAGGAGAAACTAGACAGTGGCATGATTTGCACACCATATGTATCCACTAAGAATCAACTTGCAGACATACTCACCAAGGGGCTAAACAGCATCAACTTTGAAGGAATTATATCCAAGCTAGGAATGGAAAACACCTATTCACCAGCTTAAGGGGGAGTGTCAAGACTGTGATTGTATTTGTGTATTTTAGGAAGTTTTATATTTGCTATGCTGTATTCCTATAACAGTGTATGTTTCCATTATTAGATTTATGTATTTAGGATCAATCCCATAATCACAAGGATTTGTTTTCCTTAGAATTAGCTGTCCTAAAATGGACTTTAGACTCATGTATATATAGAGGTTAAGTAACCTCATAATTGATATAAGAAAGAATATTATTTCTTCCAAATTTGAGACATATCCTTATGTTGCAGAAGCTATTTCCTTTCTATTTAGGGTGTGTTTGTTTGAGGGATTTTGTGGGATTTCTACTATTCCCACAAAATTTTTCCTTCAAAAATATCAAATCAAACATTTATTTTTTATTTTTTATATTATACTAAAAATTAATTTTACATTCAAAACATCACATCAATTCTTATTTATATCACATCATACAACTATTCAAATTCAAAATTTTTACTATTCAAATCCCAACCTAAAATCCAAACCCTTAAACAAACACATTAGATTTTATATTTTGGATTGTGATATCAAATTTACAAATAATGTGTTAGTGAGTTTTTTTGAAACCAAGTCTCTATACAAGTAGAAGCTGAGTTAAAAACTTTTAATGCATATCAGTTTTATTGATTTGGATGTTGATAGAATAATTCACTGTTTGAGATATATTGCAGAGTGGTATTGTAGTATACTGAGCTTATTAATTTTCTTAGCTTACAGCTCATAAATAAATTTCACACTTCCAAGGATCAATGTTGAGAAAATGCCAGCGACCAATCTCTTTGATTAATGTGAAAAATCAAGATCTTTTGATCATTTTTTTGTCTTTAGCTAACGCCATGTTTTTTCCTCAGATTGCTGGAAAAATTAACCGAATTATAAGGGACACAGAACTGAGAGAAGTTGGACAACTAGAGCAGGATCTTGTTTTTGGAGATGCAGGACCGAACGACCTTATTAATTTTCTTAAGGTTAAACAGGTAAATATTTCCTTTCTCTTTGAAATAATCATTACCATGAAAGATGTGTTCTGATGGATGTAATGCATAATGAATCATTGCTGGCAGGATATTTCGCGTGAAAATAAATTACGATTATTGATGATTTACGTCGCTGTTTATCCTGAAAAGCTTGGTGATAACAAGATATCAAAACTGATTGAGGTTGGACAATTCTCGTTTATCTATTCTCTATGCTACTAACTTCCATGGCTATTAATTATGCCAGATGATATTACAGATTACTGCAATATTGTCTAGTTCATCTGGATTTCCTTCAGTACAGACTTTCTATTTTACCAATATAAACTACTGAGTATGTTTGATAGTTATTTCATTCCATTTTGAAAGCATCTGCAATTCCTGCTTTGGGTCATTTCCATTTGTGTTCTTCTTTCGAGACATCCCCACTTTGGTGAATGGATTACTTAGTGCTTCATTCTTGTGATCTATTTTTTTCTTGATGCACATATTTTAGCTGGCTAGACTTCCACCAGAAGATATGGCCGCTATTTATAACATGAGATTGCTGGAGACATCATCAAACACCAAAAAGAGTTCGATTATCCCCTTTTCGCTTAACAAGGTAGCATATGTTTTTAAAATGATCATGGTTGGGTAATTTGGCCACTTTCTCTGTAATTTATTTTTATTAATCACGTATGCAGAAGAAGCATGCTGCACGGAAAGACAGGCCTGGTGAAGAAACCCAGTGGCAATTATCACGTTTTTACCCAATAATAGAGGTACACAAAATATTAACGAACTTTTTTATTATAGGAAATCCAGGTGACACCTTGTAATTGTCTGATAATTTAAGGGAGTAATCCTGTTAGTGCCCAACGTGGATATGAGTAATGGTTGTTTCACTCGGTGGCAAATGAATTGATATTCAATGAAGCAAGAGAGAGAACCATAAACTATAATCTTTTTCTTTGAGCGGGAGAGACAGAAGAATAGACTATGCTTCCTAAAAGATTCTGCCTGACAACGGATTTTGAGTTGGAGTTATGTAATAAGATCCAAAACAAAAAGCCTAGGAGTGCTGGAACAAATCAGAATAGATACTAGGAGTTGGGGCCAACTTTAAATTTAGTAGTCTTTCAAAATTTTGAATTCTGATTAAGTGACATTTTTCCAATGAAATGATTGATTAATTATTTGATCATGCAATTAGAGAACCCCATTAAAAAAATTTCTGAAGCCCCGTAACAATTTACAAAAAAGAAAAGAAAAGACATTTAATGCATGAAGGATCTTATTTAGTTTTGATGAAACATACCAAGCTTCATTAGAGCTGAAATATTTGATTTTCATAGTATATTAAAGTCGTTAATTGACAATTTATTTATTTCAATTGGTACCATCAGTTTAAATATTCTATTAAAAAAACTGACAGCATTGATATGTTCATAGCTTTACAGATAAATTTTATATGATCTTTTTCCTCATATGCTCCTTAATGTTAAGTGAAATTTCATATTCTAGTGTTGTAAGAATTAATCGAAGTGGTAATGATTCTGCATCCTTCCACTCCTAATCGCTTCTTTTTTGTTGTGTCTTTTAAGTGTTTCCAATTCATGGAGCATAGAATGCATATTTACATACTATTAATCTTCTCACTTCTTTTGACTCCTTAAACCATGGACTGGTTTATTTGTTGTTCATGAAGTAATGGTGTCATATGGAAATTTTTGGTGTCATTGAAATTCAAATACCCCCTTAACTTTCTCCTTCCTTATTACACTTCTCAAGAAACTGAGTGCACTTAAGTCATTCTTATTAGTTATGACTTGCAGGAGTTAATTGAAAAACTTAGCAAAGGTGAACTACCTAAGGATGACTATCCATCTATGAACGAGCCTATTCCAGCTTTGCTTGCTGCCCATCGAACTGCATCTGCAAGGTTTGATCCAAATTCAGCTCCTTGTTCAAGGAGATCGAGACGAACTGCATCTTGGGCTTGTCCTCAAACCTCTGATGATGGATACACAAGGTATCTTGTGGGATTTTGATTCTGTTAATTGAGTGTTAATTTCCATTAGAGTTCCTTACAGTCTATCTTTCTTTCTTTTCTTTCTTTTCTATTTCTTGTTTTGTGTGTATTAGATTTGGCTTTATGCACAATGTCTCGAATCAGTCAATATGTTTGTCATTTTAATTTTCTGTTCTCCTGTCCTATTTGATACCAAATTTTCATCTAAAAATTGTTTTTATCTTTTCCATCTTTTGGTTTGGTTGCAGCGAATCGATTCTAAGGTGTGCATCTAGTGATTTTGAGAAGATGGGTCAACGTATTTTTGTGTTTATTGTTGGTGGAGCAACAAGATCTGAGGTACGATTTTATTTTTTATTTATTACTTCCTCAATCCGGGAAACTTACATGGGTTTGCTTGGGCATGTAGACTAAGAAATAGTGGTATTTTAATATTAAAGTGAGATAGATAAAAAATAAAATAAAAATATTATGAAACTTAATTAAAGAGTTGATATCAAGATAGTAGGATAAATTGAAAAAATAGAGACAAAATTGTTATTATTTGTTAAATTAGATATAATAAAATTGTAGTTGGATTAACTATGCACAAATGGACACCCCAAAAAGGAGAGTTGATATAATTTTGACGAACGGAAGGAGTATTATTTTTTGTCTTTCCAATTGCCTTTGTGTATGCAATGCCTTTTCGTACGTGACCATATCATGATTGCATCTATTATTTACTCTTTGCAGCTAAGAGTTTGCCATAAATTGTCAACCAAGTTGAAACGGGAAGTTGTTCTCGGATCATCCAGTCTTGACGACCCTCCACAATTTATTACGGTACATGACTTTATTCCTTTCCTTTTGTCATTCTGCATTTCATTTATTTACTGGTGCTTTGTTCATGTTCAATCTGCAAACAATTGCGGTAAACTTCATAAAATCGAATATTGTGAATAGAAGTAACACGTGACAGGTAAAAGAAATTAAAAAGAAACCTAATGTTTCTTTTGCCTTATCAATGAATTAATGGCTAATATCTTTGACAGATTAAAGTGTAATTACTAGTCAAGTAGTAATCCCTTTAAGAACATTTTCTTGAATTTGATATATTTTGGTATTTGCGGCATCCATGGGTGGAATGACCTAAAAATCAATTACAAGTATCACCAATATCGATTCTAATTTACGAAGGGATATTCTAGAGCACCTCGAGCCATCATTCATCTTTGTACAATCATTCCATTGTGTCTGCTCATTTTTTTCGTGGCTGTTCTTATCGCAGAAGGTAAAGATGATGACTGCAGATGATTTATCTATTGACGATATTCAGATCTAGGTGTGGAGCTGAAGCTCAAATGATAGGTATAAAGCTGCCCCTAAAATTGTAAGTCGTAGTTTACCATCTAATTATTCTTCATTTTCTCGACATTGCATAGCTACAATTAACGGAAATTATGTAGGTTGTGCCAACATCTCATGCAGTTTCCGATTACTGTGTAATAGTCAATTTTTTTTCACTATGCAATTCTTACGATTTTCTATGAATATATACTAGTATTTTTTTTTTACAAAAAATATTGCTTCAAACTATTATTTAATCCTCAGTTTCCGTCCTAAATCAAATATACTTTTCCATCTTTTGTCATTGTTCTCGCCAAATATATCCATTTTTTCTCACCTAAGTCACTCATAGCGTTTTTCACATTTGTTGCTATTGTGTTTTATTTTTGCTTGTGACTATTTATAAATCACAAGTAAAATTAACATAAAGTAGTAACCCCGTCGGAATAGTTACAAATAACTAAATGCATACTCTACTATTGTCCTCCACTCTTTTGGTATATATATATATATTGTTGTTTTTTGAGGCGAAATAATGGTAAGACCTACTTTTTTTTGTATGAAAAACAGGTGTTGGCCGTAATATTACACATGTGTATATATATATATATATCTATAGAAAATTTGTGAGATTGCATAATAAAAGTAAATAAATAAAGGGAATAAACTCTTTCGTGTTTGTGTTTGAATAGTGGTTTGATTAAATGTTTTTTGAAATATATAAAAAAATTGTGAGGTTATTTGAATACTTGATCCATCTCGCCGGCTAACCCAATCTTTTTTGTTTTTGAAGGCGATTCTGTCTCCATCTTCCAATAATTGTACCCGCGATAACTTCCCGCAATGGATAGCTTCAAACAATGGAGATGTAAAGTAGACGGGACACACTCAGTCGCGATAAAAGTAGGTGTCCATATTTTATTTTTGAAGCAAAAATAGTTTTTTTTAGGACAAGGATTTTAACACTCTATAATAAATTAGTTCCAGAGAGAGTTACTTAAACTTTTCTCTGTATCAAGATTAGCCTAGATGCAGGTTTTGTTTAATTTTATGCACATATATATGTTAGGGATCAAATAACAGAGTAATTATATTATACTTTATAAATCAATATTTTAATTAAATTGCATAGAGACTATATATATATATATATATATATATTGTTTAGAGCCCGGCAAAATTAGGCGCAACCTGAATATCTGATATGGCCACAACACTTGTGTTGGTTATTTTGTTGTTATTGAATTTCTTCGAAGATAAGGAATGTTGTATCGAACTATCTTCGGGAAAGGTCGCATGGGGTGCGCGCTCGAGAAAGCCTATATGATATTGACGAAGTGTGAAATAATATGATGAAAGTGAAAATTATGGTACATATTGTTTGAAAACTATTATTTTCAAATGAGGAATTAAATAATTTAATTCCTACATAAAACCTTGTAAATTCAAATTTATTTAAATTTGAATTGATAACTTTAATGAATAAATTGAATCTTTTCAATTTGAAATTAAAATTGCATACTTTCATGAAAAGATTGTGTCTTTTGGATTTAAAATTCAAATTCAAATCTTTTCGGAAAAGACACTTTCAAATTTACTTGCTCGATTTTTCGTCTAAAATTCGAGTGTTGCTTTGTTTTATTTTCGTACGAACTTTGTGTAATCCGGGGAGTTAATAGGGTTGAAATATCGTACAAGAAAAGCGAATCTACGCGACTCAGTATATCAAAGAAAGTGTATACTTGCGGAATTTGATTTGTTCATATTTTCATTCATGATTATTTCTCCAACAACTTGTGCCTAACCAATTTGGAATTTAAAACTAAATAAAACTATAAATATATAATATAATAAATAAATCTTAATTTTTTTTAATTTCAAATCTAAATACTGAATTCATGGACTCATTGTCTTCATTCAAATCCACACCACATGTTATTTTTTGTAATTTCGTCCGACACCTTTTTAACTCTGTAGTCCTCGATGCTTCACATTATTTTATAATTTATTTTAAAAAAATAGAGAAATATTAATGGCTTGAAATTCAAAATTAGATTGTTTTTACCCTTGTAAATACAAATTATAATCCATCAAAAAATCATCTCTCTTTCGTGTAAAAAGTAGAAATAGCAAAGAAAATAAATCAGAGTGGAATGTAATGACACAATAGTTTGAAAAAACCTAAGCCAAACCTTAACAACTTTAAAAGAAATAAGCGTAGGCGAGGGTCATTTATATCATCTAACATGGTCTTAAGTCTCGAGTTCGAGTTCCACCGTCCGCTGTCGTTGTCCACGTACAAGTTTTGTTTGATGTGGTTTATCCCTTTGTACATGAGGAGCACATAAGGATGCGTGTTGGTAGACTCTCATTTGCAGATAAATAAATAAATGAAACGGTCATCATATAACGGTATTTATAGGAAGATTAATATATGCATATATATATATATACATATATGATTTTGATACCATATTAGAGGGAAAATTGAAAAAACTATCCCACATGTATACCTTATTATCACTTTTGTCTTGCATTTATCCCATTGGAAACATATATCCAACATTTGCAAAAGTAGCTATTTATATCATTTGGTCGCGCATAGCCGCACATGATCGCGCGTCACTGCGCGTGATATGAACGTTACACATACAAGAGAATATTTTTTGCAATTTTCTCCAATATTAGATGATCTGAATATCTTAAAAAAACTTAAGCTATTAGGCATCATTAATTTATGTATCTACATATGAGAGTCAATCAACAAATAATTTATTTATTTTTCATAAAATATTACATTAAATGCATAATTTTTAAACTTCTAAAAAAATTTCATAACTTAAAAATAAAACAAAAAAAAAAAAAAGAGAAAAAGAAAAAAAGAAAAAAACATTCTATCTAAACAAATCCAAAATTTTAGAATAGAAGATTTGATCATGAGCTGGAAAGAGGAAATCGAAAAATACAATCGGTGTGTGTATTTTTTTTTATAATGTAGTCACTGTTATTATTATTATTATTATTATTATTGTTATTTATTTATTTATTTATATATAAAAATATACTTAAGTTGATTAATTATCATGTCCAAAGCACTATTAAAAAAAGTCTATAAACTAAATTTCAAAAAGCACACTAGATACATTTTAGTTATATATGTACATATATTGTTAAGAAGGGATTCAGACTTCCAATTAAAATTTCATATATTTAACAATGATTTTGATACCATATTAACAAGGGATCTAAACTTCTAACCTAAAATCAATCGGTGATAGGTGGAGAATCCTTCATCCTTATAAGTCAAGAGAAATCTCACATGTTTATCGGTGTAGGACATATTTAACATAAATATCTTATTATAGGTGCGTTTGTTTGGTATCTCACATGTTTTTTGATAATTTGTTGTTTTGAAAATTATTTTTAAAATTTTAACCATTTAATTTTCTTTATTCTCTATAAAAAAAATATACTCTTTCCGTGTTTCGTCACAGATGATTCAATTTTCATAGCAGACGAATCTTTTAATACATTTTAAACATGCTTAACAAATATAAATTAATTTAATTAAATTATTAATCCAAATATGACTCAAACTCTTTTATTTATATCACTCTTGTAAATAAATAAATAATTTTATCTACGTTTAAAATTTACATTTTTTTATAAAATTATTTTAAGTTAATTATAAATAAATATATATTTTATTTATTTATTTGTATTATATAAAATTTTATTATCTATAAAATAATATTCATATTATATATTCCCTCCGTTCGGTTTTAAGGGCCACATGTATTTTTTGCGTGTTGATATTTGAATATTAATTATTATATCAAAACGCAGTACATATCAAAGAAAAATGACAAAAATACTTCTATTAGCATATTATAATACTAATATAATAACATTTTTAATGTTAAGTACAATGACGCAAAAGATAAATGAGTCATCTATTCCGTATAAAAGTTAATATCATAATTTATTATTAATAACTTACTAATCTACACTATCTAAATTACAGTGTCCAGAGTATAACGGTCATCTGTTCCCAAACAGGAAAGTGTTATTCTTTATCAGAAAATGTCATATTCAAACTATTAAAGAAAAAGCCCAAAACTAAAATAAAAAGAAATCACCAATCTAACACACATTGCAGGGAAAATTGCAAAAAGATATTCCACGTATACTCCATTATCACTTTTGTTCTGTATTTTCAAAATATATTCCACATGTCTGCAAAAGTTGTTATTTCTATAATTTGGCCACGCGTGAGTGATCGCGCGTGGTGTGAACGTCACACGTGGCCAAAGAACAGAAATTACAACTTTTGTAAACATGTAGAATATATTTTACCAAAGAGATACATACTGAACAAAAGTGATAATAGAATATATATACGAGAGAAATTATTTATAATTTTATCCGCACATTGCATTTTGGAGAGAGGTTGAATTTTAAACGAAAGAACGAGATATTGTTTATATAAGTAATGGAAATATATATAATTTAAATATAATGTTAACATTGCTTAACTATAACTCAATAAAATAACATTTTGTAAATTTTTTTATATAATATAGATATAAAAAATAAGTATATATGTGTGATTAATAAAAACAATCTTATAAACAAGTAAATTTTAAATGTATATAATAAATATAGTATTTTATTGAGGGGATATATAAATATAAATAAATCTCATTTTGATTTTTTTTTTGTTAAAGATGATTTTGAGATGCATAATGTTAGTATAGTGCGAAAACGACATTTGAAATGCAAAAAACATATCTTATAGTACATTATTATTAACGCGGAAACATGCAGCTCCTATCATATGGGTGTGCACGGGATAAAAATCTAATAGTCTGCAAATTAGGTCCGATAAAAATAAGTCATACTAAGCGAACAATATATGACAAACAAAACCTATAGGCGTCGGGGTTTAAATGCTATTCATGTATATTATAATGTTACCTTTTTTTTTTGGACATATGTTAGGCGTTGGAACTCGAAGTCGACACTAAAATGGAAATATACATACTAATGTTGAACTCTATTTATATATTTTATTGTGATACTTCCAAAAGTTGAATAGTGATAAGTAGAGTTTCAATAAATTGATTAGACCATTCATTTTTAGGAGCCCACTTGAGATAACTTTAAAATTAAACGTGTTTCTTAAAATAATTTCAAAATGGGTGACCAGAAAGTTTGTCCGGTTTGTGTGACCAGAGTTCAACGAGAAAGAAAACTTTATTTGTAGTGACAGACCATGTTTGTTTTTTCTCCATGTTTTGTTTTTCATACTCTTTATGCTAAAGAAGATTTTGAGCATTCATAACGAAATGAAGCTCATCTGAAGGAGGAGAATTTGTTTTTCCAACTGGAGAGACAGATCAATACATGAACATACTTACTCTCATCTAGACAAGTAGTTTGTTAGTATTTTAATTGTGTTTTGGTCGCTAATTCAAAGAAGACTGTAGAAAAAGATAGTTGATGATCAATGTTTGTTGAGTCGTAAAGTCCATTTTGCACCTGGTGATAAGTTTATTGGATGTTTCATAATTGAAATATCTTAGATGTAGGTTGTTATACCGAATTGGTCATTAAATCTTCTGTGTTGTTTTTATTTTCCTGTTTAAATTTGGTCGGCCTTAGATAAGTTTCATTTACACATAAGCATTACAACTACTGAACAATAGCATGTTTTCCAAGAGTGCAAACTCCTTGTGGTTTCCTTATTTGTTGCTATTCGACTTGGAAGAGTTGGTCTCTTTTTGCTTGGTTTCTGCAACCATTTTCCAATAGTGTATTGAGTTAATTTTCTCAAAATTACATTTTGATTTATGTGGACATATTTTGAATATTTGATGAAAATTTTGTACATAATGTTGTTGTCTACATAAAAAAATAATTATCAAATACAATATTTTTAAATTAAAACATGCAACCTTAGGAAAAAATATTATTTTTAACTCCATAATCGACTCTCTCATTTTAGTATCGTTGAAAGTTGTATAGAAATCATTATGTAAGTGAATTTTTTTGCACAATTGGTTCTTTCGTGCCAGATATATGCACATGACAGTCGCCTGATATGTCAGAGCACACATGACCCTTTTTTTTTTTTTTGTCTTGTTTCATAAAAGATGACCCAACATATTTAACAAATATAAATCAAATTAATTAAATTTTTAATTCTTACAAGCTCATGCAAAATCGCTTTATTTAAAATTTCTCATTTTTTATAAAAGTATTTTAAGTTAATTATAAATAAATATATATATTTTTTATTTATTTGTATTATATAAAATTTAATTATCTACAGAATGATATCATATTGCATATATTTTATTGAAATATAGTTATAAAAATATTTAAAATACGAATAATACTACTCGTATAATAATAATAAAATATTGTTAATAACTTAATAATTTACTCTATCTAAAATACTTTGTCCCAAAAAAAAAAAAAAAAAAAAAGTCATCCTTGCCGGAAGAGAGAGAGAGTATATATTATCTATGTTGCCATCAATATAATCATTATATTATTTTGATTTGTCTACAAACAATATATCAATTTATAATTTAGTAAATATAATACCATTCTACAATACCACCCACTATCTATTACTCCCTCTGTCCCAAATAGCAAGTTGCCGTTTCCGTCTCACGTACCATGTCACTTTCCTTTTCTTTTTTTTAAATGATTACACACTTTAATCTCATTTTAAATTTTTAAATTTTATTTTTTTTAAAATTTTAATTAAACTAATCAGTTATCTTAATCTTAATTTATAATTATTTATATTATAGAATAATTATTTTCACTAATATATTTTTAATTATCTACTAATTACAGCTCTCCTAAAATACCATGTCTACGGTGTAGCAGACACGGTATCTGGGACGGAGGGAGTATTTTTTTATGGCATTTTAGTCTATATATTCTTACACACTATTTATCACATATAAAATGTTAATATTCTTTTTATTTATATATAAAAGACTAATAGATATATAAATTCTGAACAAACAAGTAGATATATACTTACAAACCAGATCTAGATAACAACATAAAAACACCAAAATTTTTAGTTAACCTTTTATTAGCGCTTCAGATTCATTTTCTCTCTCTCTCTCTCTCTCTCTCTAAAAGATCAGAAAAAAACAGAAAAGAAAAGAAAAGAAAAGAAAATAACACATCTTTGAAAGCCTATGAAAACACAAATACTGAATCATCAAATTTGTTATTACATTAGCACTAAAGCTTCGGAGCAGTGCATCCATGGCTTCGGACAATTACAATTACAAAGACAAAAATGCAGTTTTTCGAAAACTCAAAGCCAAGCCCGAAAACAAGGTGATCGATCTTTTTTTACAAATTAAAGCAATGCATTTTCGACTTTTTGATCCGAATCTGTTTGATTACAAATGATTCAATGATCCATCGACCTGCTTAAAATTTTTATTTATTTATTTTTAATTTATACTTTGAAAAAAAAAAAAATATTAATTTGTTCTTAATCCATTATTCTTATATATATATTTCAGATGTGTTTTGATTGCTATTCGAAGAATCCGACATGGGCGTCGATAACATATGGAATTTTCTTGTGTATTGATTGCTCCGCCGTTCATCGGAGCCTTGGCGTCCATGTCAGTTTTGTCAGGTAAATCGTAATTAATTAGTTCTCATGCATAGGAAAAAAATATATTAAATCAAATACTTATTTTTATTGCTAAGGGTGTGCTTGATTGGTGTTTATTGCTCTATTTACTTGAAATTTTTTATTTTGGTTTAAGTTTAAATTGAAACTAGTGTTTAATTTGATATTTTGAATGATACTTTGCATATTTTATGTGAAAAAACATGTATAGGATTTGTTACATACCCTTTTTTAAATAAAAGAGGTCCCCAAAATCTTTTGATTATTGTTTTGTACAATTTTGTTAATAATTTTTTTCATCATAAAAATTTCGGACGGTTAGGGTGCTTGCATACTCAACTAATATGCTATGTTAGTTGAAAATATACATGAGATCATAATAAGTATGTATGCATTGTATGAATTATTGTCATATATTTTAACCCATTTGTTATACTTATAATATATTAATATAAACTATGTATTGCTGACTTATGTGTTGTTTGTCTGCTATCAGTACAGTACTAACTGTTGAATATTCAGTATTATAAAAACAACCTAAAAATTTAATATGTAAGTTGATTTTTCTTTTCAAATAAACCGTTGATAACACTTCATTTATAATTTATTTTTTTTCGAAACAATCTACTGATTGAAACGATTCTCTTTGATTTCACTAGTAATATTTATAAACAAGAACTCCGATAATGCGAGCACAAATTCAAAAATACAGAACGAGTGGAAGAAAGGGCTAACAAGTTTATTCGAATCAAACTTCACTAAAGGTCCTAATTCTATCGAATGGTAACACTATTTTCAGGTCAATACTTTTAGATTCATGGACACCCGAGCAACTGAAAATTATGGTACACGGAGGAAACAATCGCGCGCAATATTTTTTCAAGCAACACGGATGGAGTGATGGAGGAAAGATCGAGTCCAAATACACATCAAGAGCTGCTGACCTCTACCGGCAAATTCTGTCCAAAGAAGTCGCTAAAAGCAATGCTGAAGAAGCTTCCGGACATCCTTCATCACCGGGTGTCGCGGGAGCTTCAAATGGATTCAAGAAAATCGATGAAAGCAATCATCAAGAAGAGGGTTCTTTGCCCAATTCCCCAACTTTTAGTGAATCCTCCGCGGAGGTGACTAGAGTACAAGTGTCGGTTGCGCCAAGAGCCCGCCCGACAGTTTCCAAGGCCATTAAGAAGCCTCTTGTCGCCAAGAAAATCGGTAAGACTACAAGCGGGCTTGGCGCGCGAAGGCTTACTAGCAAGGTGAAATTCAAAATTTACTTTGATATGATGTGATTTGTTTATTGGGGGATTTTGATTTTGAATTGAAATTTGAATACTAAAAATTTTGAATTAGAATAGTGGTACAATGTAATATAAATAGGTGTTGATGTAATGTTTTGAATATAAAATTAACTTTTAATTTAATATAAAAATAAAAAAAATAATTATTTAATTTTATGTTTTTTTGGGAAAAAAAAATGATCGACTAGAAAAATCTGGAGAAATCTTTTAAACGAACACAAAATTTCTTGGTGTTCATATTCAAACTAAGGCTAGTTTTCTTCCATGTGAATTTCAAATTGAATAAAAACCTTGTACGTGTATTGTTTCGATCTTATCTAATTTTTTATCATGATTTCAAATTGAATAAAAGATTAAAAAATTGGCGCGTGCTATAGTATTACAAATTTAGTCCCTCTGTCCGGGCTCTTTATACAATATTGTCCGACTATAAAAATAAAAAATATATATATTATTTTAATGTAAAAGTAATGTAGCTAAAAAGTAAAATGAAAATTTATAAAATATTATTTTTAAAATTCATGAAGTTAGAAAAGTACTTTTAAAGGAATGCAATTTACCTCCCAAGATAAGTGTAATTAATTTCTACATCTTTGTTTGGATATTCTAGCAAATTCTTGTTTTGTATGTTTAGTTTCAAAAGTTGATATATTATTATTATTATTATTATTATTATTATTATTATTATTATTATCATGATAATTTCTTTTTTAGTTCTTACCACTTATCATTTTAGCACAATAATTGAAGTTTATATACTTTTGGCCCCCACCCGTAAAAATTTGGTAAAAATGATCTTCTGTCATCGGAATCGCCATGATGTTGCTGAGTAGACTCGTTGGTGCTGATTTGGCGCCGACAAGTGAATTTTTAATTTTTTACATAATTTTTTTTAAAAAAAATAATAAAAAAAATATACTTGGCACTGTTGTGGTGCTGACAGATCAACCACATCAACCCCAAATCAGCATCGGCCAACCTATTCAGTGACAACGAGATGATTTTGGTGACTGAAGACTATTTCTGCTAATTTTTTTACCGTTTAAAGACCAATTTTTGACGGAAGGGATCAAGTACAGTACTAGAAAAATATTTTACCTTTATTATGGTTAATTTTTATTATTATTTTAAGAGAACACAAGTTTTAGCTTAGGTAATTTTTTGATTAATCCTTGAAATATCCTTCTAAGTTAGTACTATTAATGACTTGTTTTCATGATGAGTTGCAGAATAACGATAGCCTTTACGAGCAAAAGCCAGAAGAGTTGCACTTCGAAATTTCTTCAAGAAATTCAACGAAAGAGAGCAATCCCGATGCCGGTTATGTATTTACTTCTCGATTTGAGTATAAGGATTATACACAACCTAATGATGTGAATCAATATAGCAATAATGTTGCTATTCGACATGTATCTCCTCCCAAGTCATCTAATTCTTCTAATATAGACGACGACGACGTGCATGACGCCGGTTTCCTCAGAAAGATTTCAAGTCTACCAAAATTTCAGGTAATGGAAGATCGAAAATTTACAATTATTTAAATTTTTACGAAACAAATTTTATTCGTATCATATGCTAGTAGTTTATGATGTTTTACGTATTATATTTTGCGAAGTTAAAAACATGTTTGGTCTCGTAAGAAAAACTCATTTTTAATATAAGATCGAAAACACAAAAGGGTAGATCACATATATATGAATCACTTGTAATTTAATTTAAATTCATAAAATTATTATGTGTATTGAATCTATTAGTTAATTTGTTGTTGTGTTAGTCGAAATAGTGCATATATGTTTTTTTTTATGAAAGTACGGTTCTGTTTACATATATATATATATATATTTACAGTTTTGACACTATTAATTAATAGTACTGATTTAAAAAATTACATCAAATAATTAGTTTTTTTACAAATTATTATATCAAAAAATATATTTTTTTTGTTTTTGTTTTTTTTTTTTACTATTTTCAAAAATATCTATCTAAATAGACTTTAAGTTATGCAAGACATTTGTGAAAATTGCAAAAATATATTGCATGTATACTCAATTAAATAGATTTTAAAGTTATGCAAGAGATTTGGAAAAATTGCAAAAAATATATTGCATGTATACTCAATATCACTCTTGTCATTTAATTGTAACATTAGCAAAATATACTTGCACGTATCACAATTTTGTTATTTTAGTACATTTACCGCACGTGAATTTCTATTCCACTTGCATCTCCCACTCTCACTTGTATTTCATGGATACCTTAGCAAAATATTTCTTGTACATGTTATACCATAGCAAAATATATCCTAGACATGTCACAATTTCACTAAAAATATCCCTGACATATTTTATAAATATTATCCAATATTGTGCCGTTTGTCATTCAATGGCAGCAGTCAATATATTGAAATAGCAAAAGTGAAATAAGAGTGATAATTAGACATATGTATTTGTAATTTCTCCATATTTTTTTTGGTATTTGAAATTAAACTCGTGCATGGTATGTACGTACATTTTTTTTTAACCTTAAGTTATGCAATACATTCTATTCATCGGCGCCCCTATTTTTGTGCACAAAATCCTGGAAGAATCGAGATTATATGAACTTTTTTTTAAAATAAAAAAAATACGAATATGGTATTTTATGCATTTATGTCAAAACATGAGTATCATATATACATATTAACCTTAAATATACTTCATTTACGTCGTATGTAAACAGGTGGATGAAACCGATGAAGCCAGAAAGAAGTTCTCCAATGCAAAATCGATTTCATCAGCTCAATATTTCGGTGTTCAAAACAAGGCCATGGATCCCGAAGTATCAGCTTCTTTACAGAAGTTTTCGGTACACATTTTTTACTTCATTTATTCTATCTAATTTTTCGATATACATGAATGAATCTTGATTATTTTCCAGAATAATAATTTTTTAAAATCATTTTGCTCCTAATTAATTAAATTGAACAAAGAATTTGTTGTTCATCTGTTGCAGGGCTCTTCAGCAATTTCTAGTGCTGATTTTTTTGGCAATAATTCATCCAAATACTCCGAATTCACTCCAAATGATCTAATGAATCGTTTGTCGTACCAGGTAACAAATAGGAAAAATTGTACGGCTAACTAACTATTACTTTTGTCTTTATATATTTCATTAGTTGTTTTTTGATAGTCTATTTTACTAAAAAGTATTTTGTGATTATTTATTATTATTATTATTTTTTTTTTTTGTTTTAGGACTCTTGGATCCATTCACATAGAAGTTTTCAAATACTATAGAAATAGTACAAAGTTGAGTATTTAATATTCCCTCCGTCCCAAAAAGAAGTATTTATTTATTTTTTGCACGTAATTTTAGAAATATTAGTATTATATTGGGATATAGTAGAAATAAAGTAGAAATAACTAAAATAATCTTGTTAGTATGTGTGATGTAAAGGTAATGATATTTGTGTAATATATTGTAAATTGTAAGGGTATTTGTAATGTTAGGTAGATAATACAGTTACTAAAAAAGGAAATAGATACTTTGTTATGGGATGGAGGGAGTATGATATTTTTTTTAGAAAAAATTATGGTTAATAAATAATGTTAAAAATTCTTAAAAAGTCTATATAACAATAAATAAAAAAAATTGTAAATTTTGTTGTGTTTTTTTTTAAAATTTTTTTTTTTGTAAATCATTGACCTAAATCACACTGAGAAACTATAAGCATAGACTAAGAAATAATTTTTCCTATATATATAAAAAAAGAACTCTATTCATTCCTCGGATACTTGTGAGTCATGTGTGTGTGTGTGTGTTTGTATTGGTGATTTTTTGTCTTAATTTCATTGAATCCGATCTATGTAGCTATGTCTATCAACACTTAAAATTGTTTCGACTATTTATCTTGGTCAGGCTCAACATGACTTGTCGTCGCTCAAGAACATGGCTGGAGAAACTGGAAAACGGTTGAGCTCCCTCGCGAACAATCTACTTGCCGATCTTCAGGACAGGGTTTTGTGATGAACAGAAATCAAATCGAATCGAATCAAATGAATGGACTTTGATTGATAACAAGTTTGTTGCAGCAATGCATGATGCAATATTATTCTTAAGTTCTGAATAAGTTTTGAGACTCTTTCAAATATATTGTTTTCAGCTCTTTGATTCGGATATATTTTTGTCGATTGGAAACACCTTTTTGGAGGTGATGCGATTTTACTTCAAATGAACTTTTGCATTAATTTTACCCAATGTTAAGTTGAATGATTTATGATCCGAAGTTCAATAGGATACAATTTAATGTTTTTGTTTCGTATGTATATTCAATTATCGCAATTGTTTTGAATTTTTTTTTTTTATTTTTTTATTCCATCTTCATTAAGTTAAATAAGTTCAATTGTTTTCCATTTTAGTACTAATAACTTATGTAATGTCATATGATTAAGACAAGTGACAACAACATGATAGCAAAATTAAGGTACATGGAAGATAATGAGAAAACTATTGGATAAATTTTCAATCAATCATGGACAAAAGGAAAAAGTCTTTTATTTCTTGTTTTTCACAGTTTTGTCATTGCTAGGTGTAGAAAGGGTTACCTGTGATATTTTGAACGAAAATTGAATATTGAATATGATGGTCGATTTTTAAAAAACGAAAAGAAAAAAAAAAGAAAATGAACTGTAACTACACATAATAATAATAATAATAATAATAATAATAATAATAATAATAATAATAATAATAATAATAATAACAACAACAACAACAACAACAACGCAAGCAATTTTAAGGAATTCAATAATTTGGAGTTGTCTACACTTTTTTTTTTCAGATTTTTTTGGTTTCATGAATCAACTTTGTCATCTTTATGGTCTTTCAAAGGCATTCTCTACTATATATATGAAGTAGGATGAACTAATATATATATATATATAGTAATATAATTATTAAGAAATCATATAAAAGAAACTAGTTTTATTTTTTTTTTCCAATCTCATATGTTTGCTAGATGATGAAAAAAAAATAGTGATAGCAACTACAATTCCTAAGGATTCAGATGTTAATACAAATCATCTACAATTATACTTCTTGGTTGCTTAAATATATATAAATTCGAAGAAATCACCTCTAAAATACACATAGTCATCATTGATGTTTAGGCTGGTCAAGTTCCTTTCACTATTGACTTGTGTAGGAAAAGCTTCCACACATCGCTAACATCGTCACATATTTTTCATATTTTGAAAGTCGATCTTAATTATTTTCCTTGAAACTTTCGAATGTGCTCCTCTAGCCACTCGATCCTCTAAGCAATGAGAAATGAGAATGTGGCAATGATAAATAGTGATTGAGATGGTAAGGTCGTTGTGACGTTAGAGAGAAAAAAAAAAAAAAAGTAAAACTATTCAGTGTAGGATCGATAAAAATTAAGAAAAACTATAATTTTAGTTATATAAGTAATATTAACTATGAAGTTAGTCTCACGTATATTTTGCTAGAAATAACTTAGCATGTCACTCGTTATGGCTCTAACAATCATAAATTTACTCGTGACACTCACACATACTTAAAAATAAAAATAAATATAAATTCTAGGATGTATGCGTGGGTGTTATGTTACACATATACGATCATCAGAGCAATGATGAGTGAAATACAAAATTATTTCTATTATTTACGGTATCAAAATTGTATTTTTTTTTCACCAAGTGAAGGGACAAAAAAAGAATATACTTTGTCAAAAAGCGAATACATCCTTGAAATGTTACAATCATCATTTTATGAATGATGATTGCTGACATGGGATGAAATTATTCCACAAGTTGATTGAATAAATCAAAAATTGCAATTATTTTGTAACACAATTAGTACACATATATAAATTTTATTAGTGGGATCAAATGTGTGGCGTATACAAGACTCTGAGTTTGTTTACTCAATATTTTTTTTATTGACATGATTATCAATTAATATTACTAAAAAAAATAAAAATATATGTATATGTATCTATACACGTATTCACATAGTATAAATATTTAATTTTTTACAAAAATAAAAAATAATAATTCAATACGAAATATGATTTTTATATCGCCACAATTATCTATATCTCACGTAAAAAAACACTAAAAAACAAGGTTTGTGGATAGTTTAGTGATGTTTATACAAACTATCAAATTAAACATATATTTTTATTGTATATATTTCAAAATATAATAATAAATTTTTATTCAAAATATCACGTCAACATCTATTTATATCATATAAAAATATTATTTTATAGGATTCCACCATCACAAAGTTCGGACGAACAATACCATTGTACACAAAATCTTTGATTAATTCAAGATCAATAAAAGTTCATTTTCTAACTTAAACAAGTCAAATATGAACATATATTTCATTGTGTTATATTCACGAACAAGCACGAGCTTAGCTTTGTTCAAGAGTGCTCGACAATGTTTATTAATGTTCACTGTGAGATTGAATTGACTTTTATATATCTCAAAATTGCATTTACTTTATTAGATATTATGCTTGATTTTAGTTTTTAAATAAAATTTTAATTAATTAATTAATTAATTTAAAAGATATTCAATTTTAGTTTAAATTTTGAAAGAGTTTAATTATGAGACAAATTATTGGTGGAAAATATGTAAAATGATTTGCGATAAATTTTTTCATTCCCTCACAAATTTCAATCAATGAAAAACGAATTATGCTAAAGAATTTATTCCCTCCGACATATATTTATAATAAAATTTGCGAAAGACTATTCCCTCGCAAACATTTGCCAAGAAATATTTCCTCGAATTCAAATTAATGAGAACGTGCGTAAGGATGATTTTTATTTTTTCACAACTTTCTTCGCTAACGCATTCAGCGAGGGAAATAATTTGATTCGCTAATCAGAAATTTTATCTGTAGTACAACCGAATAAATTATTCAGCGCAAAAGATCAATGTCAACCTTAAACAACAAGAGACGACGACGCCCCCAACACTAGTCGCCTCAATATTTCTTTCTTTTCTTTTTATAAATTAGTTTTAGGTTTGGGGTTTAGGGTTTTGTACTTAGATGAGATGATATTTTCCACTTTTTGTTATTGTTTTTTTTAAAAAAATAAAAAATAAAAAATAAAAAATCATAGCAAGTGACAAGAAGGATCACGACGCATTATTCTGCAAATTACTTTCCATGAATAGCTTTACACTTTAGCATCTTCGATTTATTAATCTCAATTTTCAAGAAAAAGTTTACAATTATTTTACAACTAATTTTGTAGAGAAGTTCGAAAATTTGTGTTAAAGATATCCTATAATTATATTAATTATAAGATTATAAGTAAAACCTCACCTAACTTTATTCGGGATACTTTTTCGGCGAGATCAATACAAAATGTTATACAAATTTTATACAAACAATGTGACGAGATGAAAACAAAATTCGTAAAAATTTGGAGAAATTTGTTGGCGAGTGCATCCGATAAAAGAAAATTATTGCTATGTTCTATATATTTAGTTTTTTCTCGATTGTTTTTACTATGTAGTATCATCAGTATACATATACCAAACTTTAATATTCTTTTCGCCCCATATAATTTGTTCACATAGCCTGTCTCATGTAATTTGCCTCTTTCAATTTTTTGAAAAATAATTATACATTTTAATTATATTTTAAATTTTATAATTTATTTATTTATATTAATTAAATTAATTAGTTATTTTCATATTAATATATAAGTATTTGTATTATATAATAATAATAATTTTTTTTTCTAATATATTTTTTAATTATTTACTAATTATAACTTTACGTACTTAGATTTTCAAATTTACAGGAAATAGAACAACTTAGGTGTGACAAAAAGAGTATAAAATATGACATTAAATAACTATTTCACATAAAAACTAACATTAACAAAAATCTAAAATATAATGTGAATTGAATTTTGTTTTTTTCCTAAGATTCTGACCTGAATTCTACTATTCACCTTTTTTCACCAATAAAATCAACGGACTATTTTTTTATTTCACACCGAAAATTAATTTTTTTGTGTAAAATATTATAACAATATTTATTGGTATTATTAAATAATTATTTTAATTCAAAATTTTACTATTCTTAATTTCAATCCAATAAACAAATAGATATATCTAAGAGACAAGGAATAAAAAAGGAAAATTGAACAAGTTTGTTTGTTATAGTTTAAAATTAATTTGAAATAAAATATTAATTTAAATTTTTATTTAAATAATTTTATAATGTAATATTTATAAAAAAATTATATATTTTATTAAAAATTCTGCATCATAAATAATGTTGATTTCAGTTTAAAATTACAAAAGAATAAAAATCTAATATTAATAAAGATTGTAAAATAAAGTTTTGACCAACATTTAAAAAAATAATAATAAAAAAAAAAAGAAAAAAAAGACAGATTTATTTAAGCACTAAAATCAGTACATGTATTTTGGAGAAAAAAACAAAATTAATACATATGTTAGTGGTTGTTTGAATACAATATTTATTTGGTCTCTCGTGTTGAGCAATTCATTAAAGCCAAAGGGAACAATATATAATTGTTTAGACCGTATTATGTGTTAATATATAACACATCCGTCCTATATTTATATATTCATTTATTTTTTATATAAAATTTTAGAAATATTAGTATTATATTGGAATAAAGTAGAAATAAAAGTAAAAAGACTAAATTAACTTTATTAATATTGTATGATATAAAAGTAATGACATTTGTGTAATATATTATAAATTGGAAGGGTATTTGTAATGTTAGGTAGACAATGCAATTACTAAAAAGGGAAAATAGATACTTTGTTATGAGACTGACCAAGATAGAAAAATAGATAGATTGTTAAGGGACGGAGATAGTATATATTTTTTTAAAAATGTATTATTAAATAATTTTGAAGATTAAATGTAAATATAAAAACAACATTATAATGCGTAATAATTGAACTATAATAATATAAGGGTGTGTTTGTTTGGGGTTT